TTTTAGATATTCGACCGCAATCGCACCTGGTGTTAAATGAGATGCAGTCTAGGATGGTAACATATCTTCCCTGTGTGCTTATAGTGCCTTATAAGCACGGATTATATGTGTATCTGGAAAAGATATCAGCAGGTAGCGAATTCCAGTCCCTATTGATTTGATTGAAAAGCGCTAGATCTATAGTCAAAATTTCTTGATACTTATAATCATAGATAACTTTGCATTTTTTTTTAAGGGACGCGCGCTGGTAGCTTGAAGAGCTTTTCCAGCTTCACCGGGCAGAGTGGCGAGTACAGAAGGTACTCTAGCCGTTTGGCGATCGTCGGTGCGCGTGCCGACGAGGCCGAGTGTGGGCTCAAGAAGCGAAGCCCAGGCTCGTCCGCGTCGGTCGCAGACCGACGTTCACGATCGGGCCGTATCGAACGCATAAGGCGCCCGATCAGTGGCGAACCCAACTAGAGGGCTGCCCACCGCGGTGTTGGACCAAAGTCCAGCCTACGGCGGGCTCACTCTAGTGGGCCCGATCGAGGGGACTACGGACGCGGCCTGAGGGCGCCACGGTAGGCTCGGACCTCGGCTCAGGCCGTGTCCGGGGGACGGATAGGGGAGAGCCGGCCCGGTACATGTCTGTACCGTCCGAAATGGAAAGCAGGGCCTCGTACTCGCCGGCAAGTACGGTGTAACGAGCTACTGTGTTGTGGAGTAGTTGGCGTGCTTAAGGCAGTGTCTGTGTTCAGAAATTCGGTAATAGGATCGTCCGGGTCGTCTAGAACATGCCTAATTGCCTAGGTCGCCGGTATTGGGCAGCGACATCTTTCTGGGGTGTATACGTGGCGGCGCTAACGATAAGAGGGTTCTTGTGGTTGATCGCTTTATCAAAGTAGCGGCGAGAGGCTTCTTTCATAAAGTGATCAAACGATGGGAAGATAACTTTGCATTCAGCCTGCCAGCCTTATAAACTTCAAAGCAAAATAATTACAAATCACGATAGTTACAAGGTTTAGTTGGAAAAATAAACAACATTTTAATTCTTACAAGCTAGACTCGAAGTTTGTATTGGAATACAAACTAAGTTTAATCTTCATCTGATTACAAATATTATTTCAATCTGCGAGGACGACGCAGATAGGGTTGCCAGGTCCAAAAACAAAAGTCGGACTCGGTACTTATTTGGCCGGACATTAAGCCTAAATGAGGGACATACCTTTTTTGATAGCTACTTATACCTATTGTTCTAAAAACCGAAAAAGATTTCCTAATTAAAAAAACGTGTCATGGTTTTACTTTTTTTATGGGAAAGGAGGAAAAAGAGTAGACGGATCACCTGATCGTAAATGATTACCGCCGCCCATAGACAGACACCCTCACTCACTTGTGCGCTCGATTTTAGACTACCGCGGCAGCCACTTATAAAGCAAACAAAAGACGGACAGTCCGTATGAGAAAATATTTGGCTGGATACGTCTGAGAAAAATCCAAACGTGTCCGGATAAAGTCGGACACCTGGCAGTCCTAGGCAGATAGAAATCCTTTTGACTCGGCGGCGGCAGATAAACGAGTTTCAATGCTTTATTATTATTATTCTCGCATTAAGTGCCTTGAAATGGAAATGTTGTTTTAGAATTGAAAGGCCTTATTCATGGAATGTAATTGATTATTTGTATTGTGAGTTAAGTTTCTTTTCTTAACTAAAGTTTAGAGAGGAGCCGTAGGATGCTGAATAGTCGTGGACTCGTGGATAGTCAACGAAAGCTTCTCCTAATTATTTTAAAAGCAGTATATGTATCTAGATATTATTTATTATCTTGGAAAGTTAAAATAAGAGACAATGTCATTAGAGGCGGACGATGAAGGCATAAATAATTCAGGAATAATAGAAGAAACAGGCATTTTTATTGTTAAAAAAGTGGATATCCACATAATTGTTGTACCCATAAATAAAACACTGTAGGTAAGTTACTAAAGTTGTTCAACTCATAAAGTTGTGACTTTGCAAACTTATATCTGTTATTATTAAGGTATTTACAAGTCTTGACCGTCCATAAAAAACATGATCGTAATTCTAATCAAATCCTACTGAAATCGAGCAAATGTATTTGATAATAACACTCCTTAGCAACTAAAGAAAGAAACACACAATGCAAATGCCTTCAAATCCCGCCCGTAGATTGGTTTCATTCATTTACAATGTCTGCTTACATTTACTTAGATATTAAGGACTTGATTAAATTTGTATTGATTTTCGACCTTTGTCGTCCGTTGCGAGGAATCAGGCAAAAAGATTTCCACGACGTGTTTGATCTCGATGAGGAAAAGGAATGGACTTAACCGAACGAACGAATCATCTTAAGGTTTCGGTTAAATAATTGCGCTTGCTTGGTTATACGGGATTTATTATTATGAAATAGGCTATGTAATATGGTGAATTGCGAGGTCACGACTATCAAATAGTGTCCTAAAGAAATAAAACAGTAGCATTCACCCATATGCATTATGGAGTGAGAAGGTAACTACAACTGCTTCCAAAAAAAAGTAGGTAATAAGAGTGCTGAATATTATTCTAAACTGAATAAAGGACGTCACATTTCATTGCGATATTGAAATCTAACACGAACATTACTTTAGTATAGGAGGCTAATATGCTACCCTACCTAGCAGTGCTCTCGTGCGCACCATTTACCCACCTATCTATGTAACTTCCATGAAAAACTCTACTTTTGACAATTCACCTACCTATTCATGGGAGCACTGTGATACCTAAAACATTCTAATCTACACTGGTCATCACAAAAATCAGCCCACATACGTTTTACAAGAAAACTCGTTTCTACTGACCAACAATATTGGTGTTATTTGATAGCCCAATAAATATCCTTAAAGAAAAACACATTTAATTTCTTAATAAACGATTAATACAATAAATGTGACTTGAAAAAAGACTTCACTTTGGGCTTTATTACCTCTGGGATCAATTAGACCAATTTTTATGGTTATAAAACCAAATAATGAACTCACGTAGAGGACACGTGAGTTCATTATTTGGATGAATAACAGATGGATAGCGATTAATCCCAACCACAGTCCCAACTTAACAGTTTTATAGCCATAAAAATTGGTTCAAGCGTAACTACCTATTTTTTGAAGAAGTTACTCTGGCTGGATTCTTCTACAGACACGTTTTTGGGGTGAAAACCTTTTCTTTAATGAAATGAAGTTTAGAACTAGGCTTTTAAATGGTGCCAATATTGGTGGGAAGTGGGGATGCATACGTTTGAAAGTGCTTGTCGCGGAAGGGTCGATTTTTGTGATGACCAGTGTATATTATAATATGGTGCAAGCACCTAAACATCACTCACCTTTGAAAGAGGCCATGTTGGTGTGCTGCGCCGCGCGCTATGCTCATTTATCGGGAAGTGTGTTCACGTGCGGACCGCCCGGTGTTGCTGTGTACCTGCAAATGACGTTATGGTTAACAAGGCGAGATTGTTGGAGTTAACATAAAATGGATTTTAGTGAAACATTTTCTACTTTTACTATGCACCTAACCATAAGTTTCATAATAATAATTTTAGCTATCGAATAATCGAAAAGATTAAAGTTTTACGATTCTAATAGTTTTTTTCGAAATTAATATAATCGGATAACATTTTCGCCTTCAGGAACCATACAGCTTACCTAAATCCCCTTATTAAACCTTCAAGCTCCGCGAATCTAGACACAATAGATAATCAATTGTTATGGCATTAATTAATGCCGTCTGGGACTCAAGCGGTTAATAAAAAGTTACACCTAGGATGAACACTGTTATTTAAAAGGACATTTCCATACTATATGACAACTTAACCCTACAGTGGTCGCGCGGATTACACCCGTAATCCACTCGTGCAAATTGTCGAATATTTTGAAATCGGTCAACGCGATCGTTTTGATACTTCGTGTACTTTAAGTTGCATAGTCGAAGTTCACACTTAATGACGTGTGAGCGCCAGGTCGCTTGTGGATGTGTCGCAAGAGCCCCGTAAATTCCGATGGTCTACCCGTGTAATCCGCGCGACCAATTACGTAAGTAGGGGAGAGTTCGATATATTGTACCGCCGGGTAAATTGTACCACCCTCATATTTCGTAAAGTATTTATTGAATGTCTGTAATTGCAACACTCAGCGATACACAACTAAAATCAATTAATNCATCGTCACATGCCGAATAATAGAACTGTTTTACAGATACAATTTTGCGGAAATCGTACGATTTGTATTGACGTAAACTCAGGGATTTCTTCAGCCTTTGATACTCCTTAGAACTTGCGAAAACCGTTAAACCGACTATTTCTGTATGCATAAAAGTTTATTGCGCCGGCGCGGTTGCATATTGACATGTTCGAACTGGGTCTAGCATTGTGAATGAATTGGTTGAATGACCGCCTCTGGCAGATCCAACCTCTTGACAAATGCTCAGGGGCATAGACTGTGGAGGTTAGGTAACTATATCAACTGGGTACGAGTAGGTAGATAAGTAAGTACACATCCATTTTCAGAGCCATTAAAGTATTCAAAGATTCTAAGCTTAAATTCCTTGGCATAATGTACCTAGTAAGAATAGATATGATGATGACTAGCTCTTCTTTGCAATTTGTTTATTTAAATGATTTTATCACCGTGACACATCATTACATATTCAAATTAAAGGTTAATTTCACCGCTAATAATGATGTTTCTCTTAAATCACATCAGCGTTTAATATAATAATCGAATAATCTTGGCACTGGATTTGCGCAATAAATCATCACGCGCTTCTCCTGTCTGTTTAATTAGGCCAAGGGATAGTCTCCACTGGCCCATAATAACTTTTATTTACTCCAGAGCTATTTTTACTTCCACATCAAAAGCTCATAATAAAGTTGCAACAAATTCTTACGCAACGCAACTACCGTTCGACCTTCCTACGTCTGGATTCGCGCAAAGTCCATCTTGAAAGTCGTGGACGAAATTGAAACACTCGCTACTTACAATCAATGTTTATTAAATAATTGTTAAATTATGTACAAAATAAAAAAAGTCTTAAATATAGCACTTGTTAGATGTGTAAATCTAGAGTCACACCACATTAGTCAATATTCCAATAGAGCGGTTCGCTATAAGTTTCTACTGTTTCCATATTTTGAAACGGCCCTCGTCTCAGTTTTTTAGAATGATCTTAAACTAGACGAGCAGCATTTGATTTGAACTCTGCTGGTATATTCACTCATGTGGTCCCATTATTCATCTATCACACGTTTTGTCGTTAAGTTAGCGTAGCGTTAAATTTAGAAAGGTAGAAAGTGCTCCTTCATCTGTCAGACAATGGAATAAGATTGCTAAAATACTGGTAATCTCCGAAAGGTTTGGGTTTGGTCTCGGACACCAAGCTTGAGAGATTTGTTTACATGTGGCGGGTGTTTCCAAAGCCACCGTGGCCGGACTGTGACGCTCCCTTGTTGAAGCCCATCTGAAGGTTGAGCTCGGCGTTGTGAGCCCTCAGCTGCTCCTCAGTGAAGGTACGCTCGTTCTTCTCAGCCATTTTCGGGCCTAACTGAGGACCGGTCCATTCTGGGTGCTTTTGCGTCTGAAAATTAATACCAAAATTAACTTTCTATTCGCTACCTACAAGTATTACAAGATACCTTCATGGAAGAAATGAGGGTATGCTTACAATTCTGCCAAGAGAGTACAAGCAGAGCGTAACTTGAGGAATGTTACGCCTCTCGAAGAGGTCGGCAGTTTGGAAGATTTCTTCTTCTGGGACTCCGTATTTCTTGATGGCAGCCTGGAACCTGAAAACATAATTTCAAAGAAGGATTAATAGTGGATTATTAACTATATTAGGGATCATTCTGGCTGGTTAAAAAGGTACCTTTGGATGTTTTCCATAAGCTGGAAGTTGGTTCCTCTCTCCTGGATCTTCTTGACGGATCCTGGGGACAGTTTGTTGATGAGTTTGCAAAGGACCACGCCATCCTTCAGGACGTCCTCATAGGCGCCGTTGGGAAGGGGTTCCCCAGTGACAGCTGTGATCCAGTTCAGGACTTCCTGTTCTTGTTCCTTGTTTCTGGGCTGGAAGTTAAAAGAAATATATAAAATGGTTGCACTGAAATACAGAGAGTATATTCAGACCTCTCTAATTTTTCGAAAATAGTTTTGTTAAAAAAGTTACGTATTCAATATTGGCACAATACTCGTATATTGTTAGTCGGTCATCAATTAACATGTTTACGTTTTCTGTGATACCAAGTGCCTATAAATATTGATTTTGTATGGTTTATATATTCTTATTGCCAAACAATGGAGTCTATTACTTTAAAATATTAAAACTTTGTGAAAAGTGTTTAAAACAGGGTTTGTTTAGATTCTGAGTGGATGTTTAAAATTCGTAAGCAAGTTTTGAACGGCGGCCATAAAACAGCAGTTCCAGTGCCAAGTCTTTGATGGCTGGCGCGGATTCCAGCATCACCACCGAAAATAACGCGATTGGTAACTAAGATGACAGCTATCTCACTATCGAACTCGAGTTATTTCGAGAATATCCCCCTTCGTTGCTATGCCGTTAAAAGTTTGGGTTTATGGCATGTTTACACTCTTTAACACTCGGTGAAACTTTTAAAAAGTTTCTATTTCTAGTTGTTCTTTTAAAAACGAATTAGGTTCTAATGTTTGTCCGAAGACTGTTAACTAACACTGTCAAATATAGGCTTATATGCGATTAAAAGTACCTAGATATAACATGACTTTACCACTATTAAAAATATTCGTCTGGAAAATTTCTATAAAATCTAGCCTAAAGCCTATTTCTAGAATGAAACGTTAATAATTTTGTGCACTAAGAAACAGAAAATTGAAAATGGCACATAAGTCTTATAATGACCGCTACAGCTGCGCGCGAGTCGTTAATCTCGACAAGTACTTGTGCTCTGACGTCAATGATTTTTGTGACGTAGCACTTTCAATAAATACTTTGGACTTACATTGATTAAAACATGGCCAATTAACAGAGAGTGAAAACATTTGGTTATGAAATATCAGATGTTAAATCAGTTAAAGTAATAAAGTGAAATAAAGATAAATAATAAATTAAAGGAAACCGTTATCGATATATTTAAAAGGCTAGATTCCGAATCAGAAACACTAAAATGAAAGATATTTTCATAGACTGAAAAAAGCTCAAGAAAAAGAATTTTCCGGAAAAAAGTGACAGTCGAAGTAAAAACTCTTACGTACGGCCATATTTAAATTAAATTCGAGAAACTTCAGTCAAAAGCACTAATGGACTGGACAAGCACACTGTTCGCTATCAGATAGACGACTGGTGGAGCTTCCCGCCCGCCCAAGCGCCGGCATAGCGCGGGGGCGGGCGGCGTCACGGATTTATTTTGTTTCTTACACGAACTACTGTAAACATTGCGGACATTGTATAACATGAATTAGTTAACTCTCCGATGTTCTTGTTAACCGGAAAATGTCATAGCGTAAGGATAAGAGAATATCAAAACTACGGAACCCTAATTATTAGGTAAAGAGGACTCTACTTAAGATTCCCACTAGTAATTTTATGGCAAATTATTATTTCTTTTATAATAAAGTAAATAAATAATAAGGAAATAACAATTTTGTCTCATACTGTCACATACACTACATTTTGTCAACAATAACAACGACTCGAATTATTCAAGTAAATGAAATTGACTGCATGAAATGTATCTTAGTATTAAAAATAAACATTTTCAAGTTATTATAAAATTGACCTATTTTTTTATTCGCTTTAGCTATAGTCTAAGGGCTATTTTACATTATAATTTTTACGTTTAATACTTGTCTTAAATTACGTATCTTTTTTGGTGTTCTTATACCTAAATCTTTTTATATCTTCGTATAATTATTAGCAAGATTTTTAACGGTCTATAAAACATAAAACGATGTTTTGTTGTTCGCTCCACCAAATCTTCGACGCGAGTTATGAAACAGACTATTTTCGTAACTCTCTGAGAGTTTTCGGGAAAACAACCATTTGTTATCAGGCTGTCGACAGTGAAAGCCGGAAATGACAAATTCTTTACAAATATCAATTAGTCGGGAAGTTTAGGAGGAAAACTTTACGTTTTTTCAGATCTAGATGAAGCATCATTTCTTTAAACTTGTAGGTAAGTATATGAAAAAGGTTTCACATATTTTTTTAATCCGACTTTTTTGCATGCCATGGAATCAACTGTGCCACAGACTGTGCTGTGCCTATGGTGTCACTAGATATTTAAAACAAATACAATAAATTAAAAAATTAAAGGTGCTTTTAATCCGGTCTTATCGCTAAGAAGCGATCTCTACCAGACAATCCTGGAAGATAACATGAGATCATACAAAAAAGGGGAAGGTGGAAGGAATAATCGTAAACGTAAATAATGAATCAAGCCTTTTTATATTACTAGCTGGAAATAGTTGGAATAACATTTCCCGTTTTTGCAACATTTTTCTTACTCCTCCGCCCTTGGTGTAGGGTGAAGTTATATGTGTATAGTCTGAAGCCTTCTTCAATAAATGGGCCATCCAATACAAAAATATTTTTCCAAATCGGAAAGTTTAGTAGTTCCTGTCCAGTAGCGCGTTTTTAACCAAACAAACTCTTCAGCTTTAAAATATTCATATAAAAGACATGCATTGATTCATCATCATCATCATTTCAGCCATAGGACGTCCACTGCTGAACATACGCATCCCCTAATGCTTTCCACGTTGATCGATTGGTAGCGGCCTGCGTCCAGCGCTTCCCTGCTACCGATACGATGTCGTCGGTCCACCTTGTAGGTGTATTGATTATTTTACTAGAAGTACTGATTAATAGAATAAAACAACTTCCATCATGCCAATTGCCGGCTTAGCGATTAAATAATTTTTCAGAGGTCTAAAAGGTACAAAGTATGTAAACAACCTACTATCGTAAGTAAAAAATTGTTATTCAACCAGAATCATTGAGAGTGGAATTTTTTTAGTCATCTCATCAGAGTCATCGCTGCATCTTAAACTAATTTGATTTATTCACCACTTAAGGTTAAATGGATCGTATCGTGCGGTCATAGGATTACTAATGTTTGGCCAAAAAACGTTGCCCAAATTATCACATCGCAAACAACGTTTCGCAAATTTTCATTTGGCAAATTCTCATTTGGCAAAGCAACTTATTGCAAACTTTTATTTCGCAAATGTTGTTTTTGGCATATTATTGTTTAGCAAATTATTGTTTGGCAAAGTATGGTTTGCCAAATGTTTCATTAGGCAAAAATATTTCACGATAAACTATTTACAAAATAATTTGATTACTGCATAGAATGATATACAAATTAGCTTTTGGTTATTATTTTGTTTTAGTTAATATAAAATTTGTTCTACATTAATTTCCTTATTTCATTCTTTGTATCGAAATTTCCAAATGATTCATTAACAATAAAGGTGATTCTAGCGTCACTGTTCTCGGCCATTCTCAGATGAGCTAGTTTTTGCGTGTCCGGGCTGTTAAATCGTTAAAAATGACAAATGAGAGACATACAAGTATTTTTATATGTTACTTATCAACCCCATCCAGTTGTGCATTAAATCATAGGCCTCTATTTTAAGTATTTGTGACTTAATTAATTTCATGAACCTCTGTTCTCTAATTACCGTTACGCGTCCGCACACCGACTTAATGTTAAAACTTGGCTGTAATTTTTATGTCGTATAGATTTGGTTTACTCCATTCAACATTTTAAAGAGTACAAAAGATTGTCTTACGCATAGCAAAATATCTATTTAATAGAACCATTCTGTAAATAATTAGAATTAAAAAACTGCTTGTCCGAGCGAAAGTCCTAATTCCCGTGACGTTTTCTGTTTTTGGGCACACAAGCCTAAATAATAATATTTGACACATCATTTACGCGCGCGGCGCGAGCCCTTAGTTAGTTCTAAGACCTGTTAGCAAGTAGACGTCTATTGCGTTGGCGTACCGCCGATGAATTACGTAAGAGTATAATTACCATATCTTTGGTTTTCAATTTTTCTATTTACCATGTCCTTATTTTTATACTCGATTTTTGAAGGTAGATCCACGTTGTTAATTTAAATAGATTCAGTTCTTTGGCCTTCATACGTTGTAGTAAGACAGTATTTGCATACGCTGAAGATTTTGGAGATTTTGAAGAAAAACTGTCGTTTTATAATTTCCATACACTAATTACCGTATATTTATAATCACCGTTGTATGAAATTATTACCTACAAATTGCACTCACGATTGAATAAGTATGATGATAAAATATAAAATATACCTAGACCTTCGCATAACAACTGTACGAACTTTTCTTCCAATCTGACAATCAAAATTTTAAAAAACTTTCAATAGAGTAACCTCGAAATAGATTCGATTTCATGACAAATGTTCAGCTTCAGTTGCTGCATGGTTGTTGGATTTAAGAGTACATCTTAACCCCTAAGGTGACCCCACAAAATGAAGTTACCTGGAGTGAAATCGGGGCTTTCTGATGGCCAGGAGATGTCACCCCTGCATGAAACATGTCTCGTACCAGATATTTATTTTTACTATTAGTATAATTAATATTAACATCTTAACTCATTAATTAATTGTAATATAATACCATTAAAATCTATCCATAATACCTTTGCCCTAAGAAAATGAGATTTTCCTACAGTAACACTTACCTGGCGTGATCACATTAAGAACAAAAGAGAACAAATCAACAGACAATGGGACTTTTCAAGGCAAGAGTGCATAGGCACTTTGTACCATCCTAAACTGCATCCTACCTGCTTTGTTATGCATAGAAAAAACTTCGTGATATGCAATGGGTACTGGACAGAAGAAGCTTGGAGAACAAACTATATACAAATGGATCCTAAAACCCATGTAGACATGGCATCGACTTAGCCTACTCGCAAATGTAGAAATCCTTAAACGTTTTCAAAATAAAGTTTTAAAAATCTTGAGCTGTGCACCTTGGTTTACAAAGTCCATTGAAGTGATACCAAACGTCAAAGAGGGTGTGGAAAATCCTGTAAAGCTTACAACCAAAGACTAGACCTTCATGCAATCTATTTGCTGCATCCCTTCTAAATTCTAAGAATTCTGCATTTAGGCTCGGGAGAAAGCGAATAGCATCAATCTGAAAACTTATTGTAAAAGAATCGAGGTGACAAATCATAGGATATGCTGAGCTGGAACTGTCATTATTACAAATTCAATTTAATCTGATAATGGGTGATGGCTGATCGCAGATAGATTAAAAAGAAAAATGAAATTTGTGAGATCTCCTGATCCGTTATCTGTACGTTTAATCGTTTGTACCACATTAAAATCAAATAAATGATGATTAAGATTCTGATGAAAAAATGTGCCACGTAGCCCCTTCTGGCCGAAACTAAATGTTCCTGTTATAGCCTCGATTATTGCAGTATACTGAAAATATCTTGATACAATAAATAATAGAAACAAGTGTTTTCCTTTTTCAAAGGGTTATTAAGTGTACCTACAGCGTTTTTATGACGCTTTATATTTGTATACATATTTATCAATGCAAGATGTTGTTTTCTTGCGTTTTTACATCTTTTTTCTAATTACCGTTAGATTAAGTATTAGCCTTATCTAATTACCGTGACTATGAAATTTTTGGGTCTCATTTGCGCGAAAACCGCTTGGAATAATTTGACGCCTTAACGATTGTTAAATTCGTACTTTTCATGTGTTTCATATTTAAATGCGTTTAAGTCAATTAAGCCAAATTTCAAAAATGATATGGTAATTAGGCTGAGAACGCCTAATCGTGAGAATGGCCGTTCTAACCTAACCTAACCTACTATTTTCTGCAATACCTACTTTTTGTAACCATACTATTTTCTGCAATGTTTTACATAAAATTCTTGTGAAAACCATGATCATGTGCCTTATGCTTTGATTTGTGAGTAACGGTGGTAAGTATGTGAAGTGTCAATTTGACCAAACAAATTATTTGGGATATAATATTTGGCAACATAAAACATTTGCTATATAAACATTTGCCAAGTAAAATTTTACCAAATGAATTAGTTGCGAAAAGTACAGTTGCTAAAAGTTCATTTGGGAAATGAAACTTTGGCGATAAGTTGTTTACGAAGTGAAATTTGGCGAAAAGTATTTTGGCCAAACGGAAGGATACCGGCAATATGGCATTTTAGTAGGTACCAATAATATGAAAATCACGAGCTCTTAAGATGCGTAAAATCGCATGTAAAATGGACCTTAGTAATGTTTTGATGGAGAACATTTTATCAGGGAATGGTAATCCGCTTGGCCCCCTGCCAAGAGTTAGGATCCATCCGGCCGCACGCGTGCCGTATGCCGTATATTAAAAAAGCGTTATTAATGAATTCACTTTTGAATTATTCTTAGCCGATTAGGCACGTTTCCGAAGCATGTGCAGTTGGAATAAGCAAAGTACAGTTCATTTAGAATTTAGATAACTAATTGATCTTTTATCACAGTGTTTTTCACAGGTTGAAAACTCCCTGGGGGGTCTCGCGAATCTCGTAAAATCTACCTCGTATTCGGTCCCTAAAACATCATTGTAACATTATAAAATGCATGAAAAAAGCGAACGGTTCGGGGGGTCGCAATATATTTTTTCATCCAGGGGGGTCGTGTCATGAAAAAGGTTGAAAAACGCTGTTTAGGAATTTAATTGTTATTTATTCATTCATTATTTACTGGACAACGATAAACAATAGCCCATTGCAACCAATGGTGTCAATATCCAACTAGCCGAATTGAAATTGATCGAACCCCGTCCGCTGGACTTGTATTGTTGTGGTGAACCAACTCATAAAACAAGCACGTTAACTCCTGTTAACCCCTCGTGCTATTACTTATTTTTGTACTAACAAATCACTAACGTTATTTAAAAAACCTATTTTACTAGTAATGACCTATGGTACTGAAACGTGGCCTCTCAGGCTCTCACTATAGAACTTAAGACTGAAATGATAATGTTGATGATAAAAGAAGAAAACTCACCTACGCAATCGATCACTAACAAGTCCCGATCACAATATCAACGAAAACTGTTTAGGTATTAAATAGAAAAACAATAGGAAGGCCACAAAAGGATTCAAACTCGTAGCACAGTACAGCAACGAAGCGCATGTTATTACTAAAAACAACATTATTTCAATTGTTTGGTAATTTTAACTTATTTTCGTGCTTCTTGTCGCAATCAACACACAACACTAATTAAACGAGGACCTTTCTGATGCTTCTTAAGTACGTGTCTTCCGAAGAATACAAATGGACTAACTATAACAAAATGAGCACGTCTGTCTGTGATACGACTAAAACAATGAGAGAAAAATAAAGGAGCCTTATCGGTGAGGATAGTAAAATGTTTTAGCCTTTACGATACTAAACGAAGCGAGAATAGCAATTAAATTTTATAGCTATACAGTTGAATAAACTACTGCTTAACTAGGTACATACTTTACGCTGGTAGGTACTCTATGTGTTGTATGGAGAGATCTCTTTTACCGATAAGACCTCCAAAATGTTACAGTTCCAACTCAAGCGGCACGTGAATGCAAGTTTTGGGTGTTTTGTCAAAAAAATATAAATCTTCAAAAGTTAAATATAATTGCTAATCATGAATCCAACTCCATATACAACATAATACAAAAGCACATAAAGTATACAAAAACGAAGCTTTATTTATTACTAGCGGCCACCCGCGCCTGCGTGGATCCCGTTTTACCCCCTTAGAGGTTGAATTTTTCAAAATCCCGTCTTAGTGAGCACCTACGTTCTAAGAGGAACCCCCGTGCAAAATTTGAGACTCCTAGAGTTTCTGAGATTACGTGATGAGTGAATGAGTGCGTCATCGCGTCAATGACCTTTCGCTTTTATAGATATAGATAGATTTTCTACACAATACATGAAAAATTATATACTTTAGTCATAAGCTCTACCAACGATTCTAAATCGCTACTTTGTAGCTTACTCTAAAACTCTACATTACTCTTTTTTTAAACATGTCCAGTCGACCCAGTCGCACCCACGGGGCACCACTGGTATATTGAGAATTGTTTATCGGTCCATCCTTTGTCCTACCTAATAGGACAAAGATGTATTGTGTGCACTATAGTACGTTATCGTACATGACACATTATCATTGTCATTCAACTGCCCCAAAGATAGAAGCGACTGACAAAAGGTGGTTAACATTTTTATTTGGTGTGCGTGTGACATTGGACGTATGTAGGTAATTGAACTTAAAAACATAACCCTCCTTCTGGCGCAGTCGGGTAAAAAACAATCCCTACCCAGTTTCAGTTGGGAGCTCAATTCTCGAGATTGTCGACAAGTATGTCTACCTCGGACAAACGATCCAGCTATGTAGGTCCAATTTCGAGAAGGAGGTCAATCGTTGTATCTTCAATCTTCATACTTAAATAAAAATGTATTTATTGCTCAGATATCATTTTACGCCCGTATTCACAAACAATGCTTGCTTATGTGAACCAGCACAGCGTTGAATAGAGCTCTGTGATTGGTTCGTGTGTCCCCTTTGCTTCCACGTACTTACACTGTGAGACCTCATAGTAATGTTTGTGAATACGGGCGTTAGTCACACAATCTTCAATGCAGTTACTCGAAAACTTGATCAAAAATCGCTGAACATACATGGGAGTGATTCCTAGCCCTAGTGATGCTCTACCTCTGGGCTTCGGGTTGACACTATTTTTTGGGACACCCTGTATAAGTAAATACTTAAAATATAATTTAGTTAGTATTCGAAGTAACAAAAGAACGAAGATACAGTGAAAATGAGAGAGAGTTACCAATTAATCCACATACTTAGTTAAGTGGTTAATAGATAAGTGGTTTTAAACTACTGGATCACTTCAATTGCAATTAAGTACTAAGTAAATCTTCAATTCCAAAAGAAGGAAGTTTTCAAGAATCTCAAATCGGTTGGTGTTTTTAAAAATTAAACACTGCTTCATTAATATTGAAAAAATGAGAACTGCTGTATAAAAATACATCGTCAATGACCTTGGTGATAAATCTTAACCAGAAAAAACTGTCGTTGATTTCCTTGTTTTTTTACCCTTAAAACCTATGAAAATTAGACAAAATTATTTTCAGTATCTGTGAAACTTTACTAATGCTGTGTGGTATTTATATAAGGATTTTGGCTAATAAAGTAAAAGATACGTAACCGAAGACTAATGCCCGTTTTCACCATCAATCCCTAATTTTTAAGTGACCCCTATGAAAACAAAATTCCTGAAATGTGTTAGGTACCAAAGGAGTCATTTGAAAATTAGGGATTGATGGTGAAAACGGGCATAAGGCTGAGTTGCACCACCTAACTTTAACGGTAACTATGACGATAACCGGTGCTTTTTGTATGGAGTTTCACAGATTTTTGACGTTTGTCAAAGTTAACGTAAGATGGTGCAACCCAGCCTTACTGTTAAATAAATGCACTAATTTATAACGTGTCATTAGCAACGCTCTCACGAGCTCGTTTTGCATGTAATTCTGAATCCATACATGTTTAGCGAGCTCTATAAATCTCGTCGCCTTACTACCTTAGTAGGTAAATCTTTGTTCATTGTACTTATGCTAATTCCAAAGAAAATTGTTTTTGCTCATCAAAACTACATTTAACTTTTTATAATTGGCTAATGATACAAGTCACCTTTATAAAAATCTGACAGAAGTTGGAATGTTATTACGTTGATTCTAGTAGTTTCTGATAGCGATTGTAGCCATTTCAATAAAATACGAGCTGAATAATGTTGCTTGAAGGCCAAACGTGTTGCCTTTACTATCTCCCGCAAAACGTTGTGCCCTTTAAAAAGTATTTGTTCACAAAAGAATAAAAAAGTATATCCATAGTTACGTATAGGTATGGCCACAGATTCTCAATCCATGTCCATAATACCTACTTATTAATATTATATTAACTATGTAACTCTATCTATAACATTTTCAAGTTTAGGTAAACCACTGAATCAATTTAGATGGCATAGAGACCCAGTTAAAATATAGGATACATAGTTTCCATCCCGGCTTTGATAAGTGGTATGAGAAACGCCCAGGATAACTTTCCAGGGTAATGAGACGCGAACAAAGAGGAGTCTGCAATAACTTAATAACTCATCAAATCTGTCTCTTTCCAGTGTGCTGGCAAACGCGAGCCCGAGAAGGAGGTGGAAGCCCAGGCCTGGATCGAGGCAGTCATCGGGGAGCGGTTCCCTCAAGGGGTGCCGTATGAGCACGCGCTTCGTGATGGCATCATCCTCTGCAAGCTGATGAACCGTCTGCAGCCCGGCATCATCACCAAGGTCAACGTGTCGGGAGGCGACTACAAGTTCATGGACAACATCAGCCAGTAAGTACTTACAGCCTGAGAAGGAAGCCCACGCCTGGATCGAAGCCGTCATCGGCGAGCGGTTTCCCCAGGGCATGTTTTATGAACACGCACTTCGTGATGGCATCATCCTCTAGGCGACTACAACTTCAAGCCAGTATCTTATTTATGATGATTGTGGGATGCATTATTCTGGTGAACCCACTCCCGACACACTCTTGGAGGAGTTAGCCCCTATCTCCCTATTACCTATTATTTCCTAATTTGTACGGCAAATAGGGTGAAAGTACCACTACCAGTGCCTACTTAGTAATCTTTATAAAAACACTTCGCTTCCTGACGCAATCGCAAAATTGAAACGAATGTTACTGTCTATTGGAATAGGAGATTTGGATTCGGCGGCTATTTATAGACTACAAGGTGCGGTAGCGGGTTCGAATTCCGGGTAATGTTTGTGCGATTAAGTTAGTTGCTACTTCGAGTCAGCATTTTAGTTAACTGCCTATCTGAATTTTGCAGTAGGATGTACATAGATCTTATGTTTCTATCAGTTATCACCTTTTAATCGTGTACTGTTCTCTTTATTACAGGTTCCAAAAGGCGTGTATCAAATACGGCGTACCTGACACGGACCTCTTCCAGACTACAGACCTTTGGGACCAGAAGAACATCGCTCTAGTTACCCAGACCATCTTCGCCATTGGCAGAACGGTAAGTTATATTAAATTAGATTCCAACGCTATGGGGCGGAGCCGCGAAAGAATGTCTAGGCCGTTTAGCCCAGAAAATAACTCGCAGTTTCCTCCCTAACTTTGGAGGACACCCAGGTTTTAGTTTGGAGGACACCCAGGTTTTAGTAGTCTTTACGAAAAAAATGCTAACACTATACCGTAGACCGAGCTTCACTTTGAGCTGTCTGTAGCATCTAAATATAATGAGAAATAGGGCACTTTTGCAAGAAATGTACCTATCGTTAGATTTACTGTCGTCTGTACTTGTCATGAAAAAATAGATAGGTCGATGAACTAAAGTACCACAACAATGGATTCCCAGATCTATGTAACATATTTTATATAAGCTTTACATAACCAGAAAAAAATATCACACAACTAGGTGGAGAATAACTTCTCAAGAGAAATGAGATGTTGCGTGCGAGATGTTCGAGTGGAAAATTTTCAGAAAAAAGTAACGCGATATCGCTTCGAGACGAGATCGAGTCAAATGGGGAAAACGATAATAATACGAGGTCTATTGTCTCAATTGGCTCGTAATTATAGTAGGACCGAAAAGTATAGTGAGAAAATCCTTTTTGTCTCTTTAATTTTTTCCGATGCTGATCAATAGAAAAACTAATAAAAATATAAATTTTCGCGCCTTGCATTCCAATCCAACGCTGCAACGCCTTCCAATATTATTAAAGCAACAAAATGTGTAATAGTAACAAAATCCGTTTATTTTCTTCCAGGCGTACAAGCACCCTGAATGGCGCGGTCCCTGCCTCGGCCCCAGGCCAGCTGAAGAAAACCGCCGCGAGTTCTCCGAAGACGTTCTTCGAGCTGGCGAAACCGTCATTGGTCTTCAGGCTGGCACCAACAAACTGGCATCTCAATCCGGACAGAACTTCGGCGCCTCAAGGAAGATCATCCTTGGAAAGTGAAAAGAAGATTAAAAACTGTCATAAAACATTATAATGTATTTTCAGCCAGTGTTAAAAAAATAATTGGATACTGGCCGAAAACCTTTTTGTGTTTTCGTCGCTAATTTATTGTTTTTATTTAGTTTTTTTTTTATTTAAGGACGTTGTGCGTTATTGTTTATTATTTTAATCAAAAGTACCTACCTACTATTAAGTTAGTGTTGGGACTTATTTACTAAGATTATTGTTTTCTCAGACAATATAGTAATTTCCTAGTTTAGTTTGAGCCTTGATTTGAAACCATACAGACCAAAATTAGCTTTATTCCAAAATTGGTAGGTACTTTGATAAACTGTGATCTCTTTTGGAGGGATGTGGAGTAATTAAAATATTTAATAAAATCCTTTTTACAACAATTATAGTTTTGTTAGAACCAACCGAAGTTGTTTTATTTGTTTTTACCGCTTTATTAATCTAAGTTTTAAAGTTAAAAAATAATGTTCTATAAAATTACTCTTTGGATTGATTGACTGATTCAGAATTTTAGAGATCTGAGAAAAATACTGTAGCGCGCTCTATAGCGCCATCTATCGGCGGCTCCCGTGCTCTATTTTTCTTTTTTGTTTAGATTTTGGCATCGTGCTGTTTACATAATATTTAGCCAGTGTTAAGTAAGTAATATATTAATACAAGTAGGTAATTAGACGTTCAGTTAATGATAATGAGTGATGATTGATGAATGCCGTATGCGCCAACTAGTGACGTGCCCAGTCGGCTATTTTTGATATTCGAATATTTTGGTATTCGTTGAAAGAGAGTCGAATTAGGACTCGAGTCTTGGGCATATTAGAATACTGAGTCATTTAATATCAAATAATAATTCTTTGGTAACTAAGGCATAGCATCATAAACTTAGCAATTATTAGTTTAATTGGAATTTAGAAGATCTAAAGTTTTAGATGCAATATTGCTTTGATAATCTCACAAAAACACTAAAACTTAGATAACACTAAAATCCTCAAACCAAAAGTTCGACACATTAAAATGATACTAAGATTAGGCAACTTTCAAGAAACATTAACACTTTTTGGAACCTGCAACGATTCTTCAACACAAACGATGCTCTGTAAAGTGGAGCGGACATTCAAAATTCGATGTTAGTGCCTACCTACTCGAGTATTGTGGATCCGAAATGGTGTATTTTAAATATTCGAGTACGTGAGTACCTGGCCCTGCTAGGTATTCGAGTCAGTAGTAGTGTCAGTACTCGAATCAGACTGACTTGGCACATCTCTAGCGCCAAACAACCGAAAATTACCATCCTGTTTGCGCCCTATGCGTCGGCCAATCAAGCGGCCCAAAAGATAACAACTAGGGGCGCGATATTTTTATTGGCCAAATAATAATATTATGTGTTTTTATATTGTCAGTCTGTATCTCTGTATTGTCCTTTTGGTTATTAAATAGTAATATTATTATGTTTTGCTGTAGTACTAGTGCAGTAATAGTTAATTAGTTGATTGTGAATTTCAAAGTGATACATGTTTTCCGAACATAAGTGCTTATACGTCGTGTACATCATTTGAAAAACTCAAACCCTGGGAAGAGCCCAACACTGAATTGGCCTGCGATAAACTTGCAGCCCAATTTTAAGAATACAAGCTCTGTGTCTGTTAATTATAAAATTAGAAGAAAATGCCACGCTATTTCAAAGTGGAAGAGGATTACGACAACAACGCCGCAAGCACGCCGAGCCGACATGTGCCAACGACGACGTCGACACCTATCACCGCGAACGACCTCACCGCCATGATGTTGTTCCTGCAACAGTCGCAGGCAGAAAACTTTGAGCGCATGCTATCAAGAGTGCTTGAACTGCTCGAGTGTCGCTCGCCATCTTCACAGCCCGCGCCGGCTCACGCCGCATCTGGAACGTTCGCCTCGTGTAAAGCAACCTACAGCGGAGCGCCCACCGAGTTCCTCAACGGTTTTATAGACGCTTTGGAGGCATTTAAAGACAGCGCTAACGTAAGTGATGCTAACGCCTTACGTGGTTTGTCGATGTTACTCACACACGATACAGCCACGTGGTGGCAGGGAGTTAAGTCCACGATCACCTCGTGGACTAATGCCCTTCAGCACCTCCGCAGCGTTTTCGGCAACAGCAGTCCTCCACATAGGATTTACAGAGAGTTATTCTCGAAGCCGCAAAAACTCCGGGAGAGAAGTGAGCTGTACATAGCCAAAGCACGCTCTCATCTAGCGCGCCTCCCGCATGAAGACCTCAGCGAGAAAGTACAACTCGACATGGTTTACGGCCTACTTCATGTTAGAGTGCGAGAACGTTTACGGAGAGAAGAAGTTGATAAATTTGAAACGCTACTAAGAAAAACACGTGAAATAGAAGAGGTTGCTGAGAAAAATACACGTGCCGCTGCGCCCGCGAGTGCTTACAATCAGCGACAACGCGCGCCACCAACGTCTCCGCGCGCATGTATTGATGCTTCATACCAGCCGTCCACGACATCAGCAAGCGCGACAGGCGTGACAACGCCGCCACGACCCGCCACGTGCGATGAGCCGGGTTTGTAATGTTTCATTTATAGGTACACATAAATTTTTGATCTAACACATATTTGACCTAACAACCAGGCTAGGTAGGTAAATTATAGCATGCAAACAAGCATGTAGCGCGTTCTACTATGCTAGCTATCGGCTTTTCCAGTAGGAGACTCGCCTGTCGCCGACTCGCTTCGTTCCCACCGCTCTCATTCTGTATTTGAAAGAAAGAAAGAAAGAAAAAATGTTTATTTGGCACCAAATTACATGCATTTGAGCACAGATTAGATATTCGAGTATTGTGCATACGAATACAGCCTATTTTATTTATACTCGAGTAGGTACGTGAGTGCCTGCTAGGTATTCGAGTCAGTAGTACCTACTAGAATCAGACTGACTTGGCACATCTCTAGCTCCAACCAACCGAAAATCATCACTCCCTCTTGTTCGCGCCCTATTTGTGTTTATTTTGTGTCATCAAGCGGCCCGACAGATACACCAAGAAGAATAGGGCTTAGATGTTTTTAAAGTTTCTTTGGTATTTCATTGGACCTAGGGGCTCGATATTTATATTGGCCAAAATATATTAATATTTTTATGTTTTCAGTCTGTATTGTTTAGTTGATTGATTGTGAGATTCGAAGCGAAACGTAAACTCTGAGAAAGAAGAGCCCAACACTAAACTGACCCGTCGCGTCGTGCTAAACTCAATACGAACACCTCGCACATGAGTACATACAATATTGTGAGAAAGACGTAATGATTTACTTATAAGTACATTCTTAAAAATATTCCCTTTCCATTTTCCAAGTTCCAAGTCCTCCTCCTCCTTTGGTTTTTGTGAAGATTCATCAAGTAAAATGTTAGTAGCTCCATCTATTGATGTCGATGTAAAAACAATTGGTGTCAAAGTCAAACCATTGTCAAAAGTTTTTGACAATGACATATTTCAAACTAGATGGCGTTAATAGACATGGCCTCTGGAAAATCCAGACAGTTATAGTGATGTACCAGGTACAACATGAGCTACTACATTTATTAGTAGCTTATTTTTATTATTATGTGCAAACTTACTTAAAAATAATACATTCAACAAAATAAATAGCATTAATGCGTTCTCCACTACCAATCAAATAAAATGCAGTATTTTTGTAAATAGCAGTAATATTTTACAAATAAAATTATAATTAATTATTCTGCCATGGTAAGCAGTAGCTCCTATTTTTGCAAAATCTGAGTTTTATATTGATCGAAAATCAGCGTATTGACCTCTTGATGAGCTGACAGATCAACTGGTGTTTCATTAGCAAAAAATGGCATTACTGCTCGCACCTACGGTGCAATATCGTCACTTATGCATTTTTTTCAAAACTTAACTGAATCAAAGTTAACCAAGTAAAGAGGTAGTTGGAGTATTTTCTCATAACCAGTTAAGTTTTGAAAAAAAATTGCATAAGTGACGTTATTGCACCGTAGGTGCGTGCTGATATCGCTCTCGGCGCAGTGATAAGGAAACCGATTTTACTAAATTGAAATATAGTCCCTGTGAATTAGTTATAGAAATATACCTGACAAGAGATCCGCGTTCCAATACGAATAAAACTTAACAATTTATTTCATTAAAATTAATAAAAATAAATAATGTAAGAAAGGCCCATAATCTGGATTAAATTTTCCAGCTAGAACGTGGTCTTTCTACACTCAAGAATTAATTTAATATGAAAAATTCATTCTTGTTTGATCATTAAAAAATACGCTCAAGCCAAAAATTTCAATTAGGAAACCTAGTCAGTAAAAGTATCAACAGATTTTTAAAGAAGCTACAAGTTTTCTGATTGCCTGACGCATAACACAAACCAGTAAAAATATTGGACTTGGGAGTGATGAGTCTTCGGTTGGATCTGTTAAAATAGCAATACAAGGTGTTATAATACGTCATTTTAATACATGATGTTGGTCATTTATTTATTTTCCCTAATATTATAATAAAATTATCAGAAGCACAATATTTTTTTTACTGAATTGGTGTAGTGGTTGCAGAGCACAGGCTTTTAGGGGGAATTATTATTAATTTGTTGAAAAAACATTTTGCTTTTGAGGTTTAAAACTATAATAAAAACAAATTCAGTTGTCTTATTCTATATTCCCTACTATTATTATTTCTTCAGAATTAAAGCGTTATATATTACCACTTATTAAAAATACAATTTATCTTTTTTTTAATAATGTAAGTTTGTGTAAAATTTTTCAAGTAATAAAATATTCTTAATGTTTTTATAGCTCAGAAAATGAGCTAAAATGTCTACATACAACACTACTGTTAAATAACAACCAAGCTCGCTCGCAGTCGCGACAGCTACTTGTTGTCGATTTTATTTTAGCGCTGCGTAAATTATTCGTGAAATGCGCTAATAAACAGCCCCAATGTAAATAAAAACGTGAGAAAATGATAACTTTCGGCTCCGGGAATAGTTCGGGTGCTCTGGAGGACACAGGTGGTTCATACGAACTTTGTTGTTGTGTTGAACTTTGGTTTTTTGGTTCTAATGTTGAGTATTTTTAGGTGAAGTGAGAAGCATTTGTGAGAGCATTGGAAGCGATGGCTCCAGTGCAACTGTGCAGGCTGGGGCCGCCAACCAGAGGCCCCGGATGGATATTGCTTGTGTTCTTGACGTGAATCAATCAACAAATCTTTCACACAGAAGAAGAGCACTTGAAGAAGTGCGTCTAGCTTCTGACCTTGTGAATGCTAACCTGCACCATATTCATGTGAGATTTTTACTATTATTCTGTATTATATCTTCAATACTTCTAGAAATATGTTACCTTTTAATCTGATGCAGTTCCTTGAAATTCATTGTAAACAATTAATTACTCAGTTGAATGTTAATAGGTATGAATGAATATTTTTTCATTTAATTTATGCATAAATCTATTGTCAATGTTGCTGCTTTTAATAATTATAATTTAGGATATTATGGGTGGATTCGACCAAACAAGATTAAATAATAATCTCAGAATAAATCATCAGTGTTGACATATTTCCCATACTGAAACTGTCAATGTGCTAATACCAGGAGTTATTCTCAGATACAAGTTTGGTTGAATCGGGCCTAAATGTATTTAATAAGAGTAACCTTTCGAACCCATCTGGCATGGGGAATGTAAGACAAATTCTCAATGCCTCAGGTAAATTAGAGAGGCTAAATTAATGACCTGATGCTGATCATAATGAATGAATTATTAAATTAAAAAACGACCTGTCTCTTTTAGTTTGAGAAACTTGACTTTGGTGAGACAAGCGTCCTCGACACATTCTACAATGCGGACGTTGCGCTGGTGGACCTCAGTCTGCAAGTGCAACAGAGTTCGTTGCTGTACCATCTGGGAGTGCGCGAGAGTTTTGACATGAAGGAAAATGTGCTGCTGTTCAATGATATTGATCCAGACTCCACATTGCGGCTAAAGGTAAATGTTTTGAAATGTACAAAAGGTTTGACAACAAAAACAATGATAATAATAATTTTATAAAATTTAGCAATCACTAAGAAGTTTCTGGTTTGTCTACATCAGATGCCAATTTACCACTATGATGTAATTTATAATGGTATTATGGTACAGATAACGGAGCATTAAGCAAAACTCATCTTATGCCTTCATGATAAAGAATTTTTTTATAATAAATAAATATGCTTTGAATAAGGTATTTGAGCAAGATTAATACTTCTGTGACAGACTAAATACAAGGAAATCCCAGGCAAAGCTACTAGATTATAAATCATCAACATAAAAAATTATAATAACAAAATATACACAAATCTATTGGGACTAGGTATCTGGCTAGGAAAAACGTTAATCAAAGTCCAGTTCTCCGAGTCTTATAGCTATTACTCCCAATTTGTCAACATGATTGCTTTGTTGCTCAATCATGCATCGTCCACACCTAGGATGGTTTTATTGAATTACTACAGTCTCTTAACGTTTGCCGTATCTACAACTATGTACTGGGAAATTTTATTACTATCAGAACTACTTATCTTCGGTGGCTTGTTCCACATACATTGTTAATGTAGAATTATGTTTACAATAGATATTGGAGCTACTTTCTCAAGGCAATTAGGGATTTTTATTACTTAAAGATTTGAGTTAATTACTTGTTTGATTCACAAGCCTGAATTAAAATTCTCGATTTTAATTTTTTAGATAAGAGTGCGCACATAATTTATTTGTTGCTGTTACAGATTTAATTTAAGAAACATTTGTGCATTTTTCATGTTAGTATTATTTATTTGTATGTCATGTACTTCTATTCAGTTCAGTCAATAGCTTTTACAGGAATAAAAGTGATCACTTGATTGATTTGGTACATCCCTATGTTGTATACTTATGAGTAACAGTAGATATTATGTGACTATCATCATAAGTCCTCAAAATTTATAAATGCGAAAGTTTGGATGTCTGGATGTTTGTTACTCTTTCACGCAAAAACTACTGAACGGATTTTGATAACCCAGAATAACATATAGGCTATAATTTATGACGATCTGTGACAAATGAAATTTCACGCGAGTGAAGCAGCGGGCAAAAGCTAGTCAGATATAAATAAAAATTCATTTCCAGATGTCACTGTCCAACTTCTTGTTGAAACGTAAATGTAGAATGTTCAGCAAAATAGACTTTATATCAGATATAAATAAAAATCATTTTCCAGATGTCGCTGCCCAACTTCTTGTTTGTTTCGTACAAGTTGACCGACGCCGGCACTTGCGTGACGACCAACCCCGCGGCGGCTAAGTTCAAAGGCGAAGAATCGGCCGACCCAAAGCAACATCTGACGTTGAGGCTGAGAAACATACTGCAAGATGTCGAAGTTCAAACTAAGTAAGTAGCTATTATACTTAAAATTGTAAATGGGAGAGTTGTCGTCTGCGGTGTTTCCGGACGGATACGACCTGCAAGCTTTCAAGAGGAGAGCGTATCTTTACCTTAAAGGCCGGCAACGCACCTGTAACGCCCCTGGGTCTGCGGGTGTCTATGGGCGACGGTAATCACTTACCATCAGGTGATCCGTTTGCTCGTTTGCCTCCTATCACATAAAAAAAAAAGTTGTTACGATAGATGGATTTTGTTAGTTTGTCATGACAAATACTGAACGGATTTTGATTAAACTTTCGAAGGTGAGAACTTTTGGCTTTGGCCTATTTCCAATAAGTTTAACTAAGTAGCCTATTTAAAAATATATATTTATTTTTCTATGATTTTTCATATCAATGAGTAAAACGTAAGAAACAGGACAGACAGAAGGACACTTATAGAAGTTGTGCACATCATTTTACCTGATAAATGAAATCACCACATACAGATAGGTAAATAGTGTAATTAATGTTGGAATATAATCATAAAAATAATAGTAGAATCACAATGATTCTGTATTTTTAATTAAATACAAAATCTGTTGTTAACAATTAAATCCCATTTGTTTTTGCCTGTGGTTAAAAGTATACCTAATATTGGTAAATGATTCACGAATCAACCATGATAAACCTATAACAAAGACGCTGCTAAAATGGAGTGGGACTTACTGTTACCTAATATTGTTAATTGCAAAAAGTTGTTTACATTATCTGCATTTTGCGTCGTTGGTATTTTGATCTGGTACTAGGAAAATAAAATCCTAAGCTGTGATGTCATACATTCTTCTTTTATTAAATGTACGGACGGCACATCGAGTTTTACATTGCTTAAGCAGATGAATAGTTGCGATGTAGCAACAAATATGTAAATTCTGGTATGTGTAGGGTATTTCACATTAACTTTTACAGTTGAACATCAAGTCTCTATTTATCAACTCTTTGAAGGTTCAATTTTGTCCCATACTCCTATAAAAAGGGACACCGTAAGACATAGTAGGATAAGCTCGACATTGTATTTAAATTCTTATTTTAAAACATCCATCCATCATTGCACAGATGGTCAGATAGAATACTTTATTTATTCATTTTTTATTAAAAAAAAGATTATTAGTAATTTGTTATTACACAAATTACTAATAGTCCCGTTAGCCCCTCGTACTAATCTAAATATGCTTGTATCACGAGTGAGCTCACCACAATAGTCGAGCGGCGGCGGGGACCGAACCCGCCTTCCCCGGATCACGAGTCGGCCAGTCCGACCCCTTCACCGTTCAGCTATCGTGGCTTCAAAATCACGGCTTTATTATACACCACATAAAACAGACATAATAAATATAAATTGTAACGACAGAAACAAAAGAGGACTTAACGCTATATTTTTTATTTCAGAGCCCATCTCCAAGAGAAATTCCTGTCTGATCTTCGCAAAGCACGCGAAATATACAGCGGGCAAGAACTATCTAACGTCTTACACGCTATGCGTCGACGCCTAGACGACCCGGCCGTGCTATCCGGGGATACGATACTGAACATGTTGATATCCTACCGGGAGATACAGGATTACGATGCGATTGTACAAGTCGTGGACGATCTGAAAACGATTATGAACAGGAAGAATTATGTGAACATGCCTATAATTAGGTTCATGTACGCGTTCGCTATGAATAGGTAAGTTTTTGGTCAATTTGTCCTTAACTGGTGATGATTTCTGTTATCTTATTTGGGTTTTGAAAATCGATAAAAGATGGCGCTGCTTGTATATAAAATGGCGATGGTAAAGTTGAAATTATTATAATGTTGCATAATTAGTTGGTTTTATAATGGCGACAACTTTACTTAGGCGATATCACAACCAAAAGTGATCTGAAATAGGAGCATGAACCTTTAAATCTTTAAAATATGTATAAAGAATCACCGTATCTAGGTACGATTCAGCTTTGTTTTAAGTATAGCTATAATAAATATCTATCTACTGCATTTCACCTTTAAAATTGATAGTGAAAGACACATTAATAGTTACTATCTGAACGAATTAGCTATTCATCCTTGATGCAAATGTGAAATGTTTGCCAAATGATACTACAAGTGTCTTCTTACAACAACGCGGAGTAATCTGCGTTTACAATGGGATTTCCAATAGTTTATGAATTGAAATAAATGCATTCGTCATGCCTGTAGGTAGTTTGTAAATGAAAGGTTGTAAGCTAATAAATGTCTTTGTTTTCCTCTCCGTGTGGTTCATTATCTATGGCGGTTAGAATGACGTCGATATATTTAATAATGTTGCTATTATTTTATTAATTTAATTAATTGGCTATTGGGCAACTGTAGCTGTAATTGCCGTGCTGAAATATGCCTTTTCCCTTTTTGTGGTTTATTTCAGATATTTTGGTCGAAGAACCATTATTTTGTCAAATGGCAGTCAAACTAGATATTATTGAGTTAGCAAAAGAGATATAATTAGTCACTAAAAAATAAAATATAAGCTCACACAACTCAGCTCCTCTCCCGAATGAAAAAGTTTATGCAATAAAAATTCAAAAAGACTGTCCTACAAAAAGGCAAATCGGTCCAGCCTTTCCCGATTTTGTTCATAGGGACACACTAAACGATATCGGAGATGTGACACTCCTTTCCTCTCCTCCTATTTGTAGGGATAATATAGATAAAAATCTAGATATTTCTGTAAATACTTAATCATTTTTTTTTTAGGCGGAACAAAGAAGGCGACAGAGAGAACGCATTGAAAGTATGCGTCAAGGCGTTAGAAAAGAAGGAAAATCGGTTCCCAGACATGTTGTGCCTGTGTGGACGTATCTACAAAGACAAGTTCGTTGAATCTCAACATCTAGACACGGAAAGCTTACAGAATGCTATACATTGGTAAGATTTTATCCATACTGCTATTGATTTATTTCACTAAAGCCCGGTCTGTTAGCACGTAGAATTTTGTCCAATGACCCCAAGCTCCCATCCTTATCGCTCGCGCGTAATTATATTGCTGTCGCGACTGTGCGACGGGCGCAGTGAGTGTGCGAGCGCGACAGCAACATAATTACGCGCATATGGATGGGTAGTTTGGGGTCATTGGACAAAATTCTACGTGCTCGCAGACCAGACTATAGGTTAGAGATGGGTTATACTAGGTAAATTTGATACTAGGTGCACCTATTCCAAGTATTTATTAATACGTGATCCAAATACCTGTTCCACTTAGTACGTAGTAATTTACCATACTTGACGCGACTAGTGCGGAGTGCGGACTAATCCACGTATTATGACTTTAAAATACAATTTTCTTTGAAAAGATACAACCGTAGTATTAATAATGCAATTTGAAATTGAATAACTTGTAGAATAGAATGTTTCTTCTATAAAAAATAAACACTTCAAAAATCGGACGTGTGACGGCTCATGTCAAACTGAGAGTGTTCCATTTCAACATTTTTTCACATCGCTCACAAAACGCTTACAGATTAAAGAAATATCACAGATATCGCTAAATTTATCAACGTTGATGTCAAAAATAGCAAATCTCCATACATGTAAAGGAACACGCCCAAATTGACAAAGAAACACAGACAAAAAATCTTGGTGACAAAACTCCCCATGGGTCATCTACTACCAAAAATTTCTGGGAACTTTTGTCACCACCGGTATTTTAGCGGGTAACTTCTCAGAAACAGGAGTTAAATTCTATCTAATCAACACTCGAAAACTATTCCAATTTAATCTAATTATCAAATTACTATTTCAATACAAATTATGCAATTATCACGGACGCGTGACAACAAACCAAAACAAACCTGTCGGAAGAATAAAAACTGGTTTTTTACCGGCTAGTCAACAAGGAGTGAGCTGGATGAGAGAGAACAAAAATTAAAATATTCAAAACCTTACCTGTGTACAAATAGAGTTTAAATTACGTAATACATCAAACACCTATTCCTATCTCACACCTGCCTGCGCTCAAATTTGTTTGTCAGACAGAGACGGAGTGAATCTCTACGTTCGCACATAAGCTTAGCGAGAAATACGCGGTGCACGTAATACACGACTACGGATTATGCAATAATAACCTCTATTACTTTGATGGTAGGGCCGGAAATCGTGTAATTTAAAAAATACTTAACGAGAAATACGCGGTGCGCGTAATACACGACTACGTATTATGCAATAATAACCTCTATTACTTTGATGGTAGGGTCGGAAATCGTGTAATTTAAAAAATACTAGGTGGATCAAGTATTTTAAAAATTGGAATAGGTGCCACTTAGTACTGTAAAATACCTAGTGTGTGGATCTGTTCTAGTAAATACGTCTCATCTCTACTATAGGTAGTTTATAATTTATTAATTTAACGTCCGTATTCACAAACGATGCTTGCTTAAGTCGAACGCACAGCGTGGAATAGAGCTCTGTGATTGGTTCGTGTGTCACCATGTGCGTCCACGTGCACTGTGAGACCTCATAGGAATGTTTGTGTATACGGGCGCATGAGATCAAGGTTAAACAGAACTTCAAGGTCGTTGTTGTTTTGTTTTTTGACGGCTGAATGACCTAGTGCTTTCGATACCAACTTCGGTCGTGGATTCGAATTTCTTTGTATCCTTAACTAGTCGTACAAATTATTTAAATCCGGGATAGGTGGCACATAAATAACAGTTTACTAGTGTTCTTTATTTTCATTATTTTTCAACAGGTACAGACAAGGTTTTGAAGTGCAGCCAAATGAATATGCAGGCATTAATTTGGCGACACTATTAGTTATAGCTGGGAACGACTTCAAAAATTCACAAGAGCTGCAGCATATAGGTAAACTGCATACAAATATATTAGTTTGGGAAAAGTTGTAACATTGAGTTTTAGTTGAAAACTTATATTGAGTTCACACATATATGGAGGCCACGTACCGTAAAAGGCAGCGTGGGTCGTCCACCCACAAGGTGGACCGACGACATCGTAATGGTAGCAGGAAGGCGCTGGATACAGGTCGCTATAGTCTGGTCTGCGAGCACGTAGAATTTTGTCCAATGACCCCAAGCTACCCATCCTTATCGCTCGCGCGTAATTATGTTGCTGTCGCGCTCGCACACTCTCTGCGGGCGCCCGTCGCACAGTCGCGACAGCAATATAATAACGCGCGAGCGATAAGTATGGGTAGCTCGGGGTCATTTGACAAATTCTACGTGCTAACAGACCGGGCTTTACCAACCGGGCGATCTAGAAATAATTGGGAGAGGCCTATGCTCAGCAGTGGACGTTCTGTGGCTGAAATGATGATGATGATGAGTTCCATGTTCGCAAATTAAATATATTTGATTTGATTTGATTCACACACCAATGATGTGATCCCAATTTTACTTCAAACCTTCATTCTGTTCCCAAATGTGTCTATATTGTATTATTTGTGATGTGTCCATATTGTATTCATCAATCTCTCCACAGGTATGGTCCTAAACCATCTAATAGGCAAGAAGGGCAGTCTATCCTCACTGAAAGACTACTGGGATGTGGCCACCTTCTTCGAGATATCAGTTCTAGCTCAGGACTACGTGAAAGCAATACAGGCTGCCGAGGTTATGTTCAAATTGAAACCACCTAATTGGTATTTGAAGTCAACGATAGGAAACATCGAGCTGATTGACCGGTAGGTGTAAAACAACGTGCTACAATATTTTAATCTTTAGGTTTCTATAGTAAAGTTCAACAAAACCAATGAAAAATATTAGACATTGATTTATACATTTGGAATTAAATAATGAATTAATCTATTCTCTTAACACCTTTTACTTATTTAAAAAATTATAATGTTAATGGGAGTTTTAACTATCTTCACCTACAGGTTTAGAAAAAAAAGCGAAGAGACATCCCCAGAACAGCAAGTGTTCTCATTTTGGATGGAATTCTTCGTGGAAGCAACCAAAAGTTGTAGCGAGAACATCATCAGGTTTCCTGTAAGTACCAAAATCTCATAGTTTAATTTATTTAATCACCGCTAATCCACGCTGAATTTTGTCAGTGTGTTCGTGCGCGCCGCATACGTATTGGCGCGCTCACATACAAACCGCGCTCGGGCGTTTCTATGAAGATGACCTACTCATTTGTATTTACTCTGCTAATAGGGTAAGAAGTTTTTTCGAAAGGTTATAGATCGTTTCATCCACGAAGACGCGCCCCACCAATTTTTGGTCGAGGTAAACGCGGGGTGCGGTGAGTTTGATCCGAGCAATCCAAGCGTCATTATTGTAGTGTGCGTTCTCTCGTGGATAATTTACGGATAACACACAAACATTAGCGGAAGAAAGTTCATGAATTTTTAAGGTAAATACTAACCCTCTCTCTGATTGTTTTGCTGTGCCCTTGCAGGCCGTCACATGTATACCTCTATTTTGAAACAACATATAAATTGTACTGTGACATGCAATAAACGTTTTGAATTTGAATTTGAATGGTGGGGCGTCTTTGTGGATGAAACGATCTATAATTATTTGAAGTTATTAAAGTGCTCTTTCAGAAAAATGTCGTCCAATATTTGTTTCTCTTGTCATGTTTTTTTTATTATAATTCTTTTATTTTTACAGGTGCTAATATTAGAAACGACTAAGGAATACATACCATCGTACGTGAACGTCAATATGGGCGCCGAAGAGAAGTCGGTGGAGATTCTGAACCTCTGCATGGATTCTATGAGAGGCACGTGCCGCCAGGTGCACCGGTGGTTGTTTACCTCTGACATGATCAGGACTTACAGGTTAGTCTCTTAGGCCTCACTCCCACTGTGCCGGACCGGCAGATTTGCCGGAAACCGGACGCCGGATAGTGTTCACATAACACCGGATCCCGCAAGAAAATAGGTAAGTCAAGTCAGTCTACTTTTTTTTATCCACAACGAGGAAGCTCTTGGCCTGTATCACACCTGATGGTAAGTGATGATCAGGCCGAAGGTGGAAGCGAGCTTCACCCGGAATCCTCAACCACGGAGGAACTGGCTATCTTACCTCTAACTGCCGGAACACAACAATGCTGTTAACATTGTTGTTATGGCGACAGACTTAGGTAAGATGGTGGTAGCTATAGCCAGGCGGACTTAAAACAAGCCCTACCACCAACCAAACCGAACAGAAAAATCTCTGCGTCTGAAGGTCTTACCACAGAATAATAATAAGTACTACGTACAGAAGTTTTACTTCGCGAAGGTATTTAAAAAAATGTATGCTCAATGTCATTAACAATATGGTGTAATTTAGCCTGTCTCAAGAGTCAAGCACCATTTTGTTGACAAACGTCAGTGATCGGCACTGCGCCGAAGCTATAGGGCTGACTTCGGTAAAATGATGTGACGTGAGGTGCTAAACTGCGGAAAATGGCGGACTAAATACATGATTTAGCATGAATTATCATGAATAATATTAACTACTTATTTACCTCTCAGTGTCTTGAGGCATTATTTAGGCAGTTAAATACTGCACAGTATTTAGTACACCATTTTCTTTATTTTTTCCATCATACACAAGAATACGCGTGCGTGAGTCAATGTTCGCTCGTATGTGAGGCCTTGTCGAATAGTATCCTGTAGGTGGGCCATCGTGCGTGTTTTGTTTTCGATGTAAACTCGCGGAGATGAACAGGCCTGGTCTTACCACTAGACCACAGAGGCGGTTGACGACTTCATCAAAATATGCGAGCCCAATGGTGGGCGGGGGATCGATGCCGAACAAACTCGTTCACACTGCTCCGGTCCGGTGGTTCTGCCGGGACTTTGCAGTGACAAAACGCTCGGCAAAAATGCCGGATCCGGGATAATGTGAATAGCTTCATATAAGTTGTACAGCCACTAGTCTTTCCGGCAGTTTTACCGGTCCGACAGATTTGCCGGTCCGGCGTAGTGGGAATCGGGCCTTAGGTTACTGATTACTGATAACTATAAGCTACTGATAGATAAGGTCAAAACTCGATTCAATTTGCATCACTATTAGAACAATCATGGAGCGGAATCCGAGACCGAGATTGAATCGAGTTTTGAGCGATGTTTTTAACCAACTTAGTAATGCAGATCTTAAGCCTTGATCACACGTACCGAGTAAACGGGCGAGACAGTAAAATGTTTACTCGGTCGAGACAGTTGGGTGAGCGAGTCACATAATCGAGCGCTCGGCCGAGCACTCGGCGTAATGTCACAGAATAAGTAATAGTACAGGTACAGAAGGATTACTCTGCAAGACGATTTAAATAAATGCGAGTCTTGCTACGACGCGATACAGTGGAATTCAGCTCGCACAGCACTACGTACCTACAATTTTATTCACCTACAAGTTTTGTCTCTTTCTATCGCGTGCCTCTGAACTCTTCTTACGCTGTTAGGGTTGCTGTCTAGTGAAAAAATAATTAATCTACTTATTTGTAATGAGGTACGTATATGTAGGTAAGTAGGTATGCATTCATTATGGAAAACCTTGGGAGAGGCCTTTGTCCAGCAGTGGACGTCATTTGGCTGAAACTAACGAACGCATTCTGAGCAGTAGTCATAGTAGGTTAGGTTCCTATACTATACTAAGAATTATTGATTACCTACATGGCCAACATACCTTTCAGCATCTTTGGGAAGCGAAAAAAAAGATAAATCCGGTAGATTTCTTTTCGAATTTAAACACCCGAACGCCGCACAATATTTCTTTCTCTTTATGTCCATTTTTAAATAATACTTCGATCATAGAATTATAATCATACTACAACGCACGCCAGCGTCCTGACGGGCGCGCGCGTGACACTCGACTGATATAATACCCGCCGGCGGGGCACTTCGCTGTAGGTAATTATCGGATGTACCGCGCGGAGTGAGCCAGGCCTGGTAATGTTCATACTCGGCCAAGAGCACTAGGCTGTCCCGCCCGTTTGCCCGTTTGCTGTGATCAAGGCATTAGTACTGGTGTAAAACAAAGTTTACGTTGTTTCTTGTGTAATGGGTCGCCTAATCTCGTGGGAAGAAATCACGAAAACTTATTGTATCATAGTTTTGGCATATAAATACTGTCTTAAATATTCATCTGACGTCACTATACATTAATCATATTTTTATTCAAAACAAGGAAATTGTCCTCAATACTATCATTAAATCTCGAATTCCATGTAATTTACTATTTTTATTGAAACAAATAGCAAGTAGGTCACAGATAAGAATTCCTGGAATTTAATCTATCTAATCTTCAAATACTAATTAAATCAGCATGTTTTACTAGTGTTTATTTATAGAAATGATCAAAATACTTTGAAGGCTGACTTTGGTACAGTTCAGAATTGTATGCCAGAGAGGTCGTGGGTTCAAATTCGCACAATAAATGAATGTAACAAACCTGTCTATGTACGAGTTTACTTAACAAGAACACATTTAAATAAGTTGATATCCATTAGAGATTATGTGGTAGTGTTTATAATGTCTAATACCTCAGCTACACTACTCCCTTCAGCGCTTCGACGAAGAACCGAAGTTAGCCGAGTAGGGTAGTAAGACACTTCGTGTTCAAACTTTATACCGTTAGAGCCCTTTGACTGACCCCGATAACAATCGGATATTAGGTGATGCGAGGTGAGGTTGGGGGGCGTCCATAAATTACGTGAGGCTTTTAGGGGGGGGAGGGGGTCAACAAAAACCTCACCAAATCTCACGTGGGGGAGAGGGGGGGTCTCGGGAAATATCACGTATTTTTTTCCACAAGAAATAGAGAAATAGTTTGCGAGAAAACTGGGTCTAATCTTAAGTAAAAAAATTGGCCAAGTGCGTGTCGTGACACGCGCAGTGTAGGGTTCCTTAGTTGTCCGTCGTTATCACAATATATTTCAGAAGTAAGCAATTACTTCATCTAAAGTCACTTTTAATATTTTCTTCTAAGGAATTTTTATTAGGTATGAAATTTTATTATACATGAGTAAAACGACTATTAGTCTTGAACTAACTGATCTATCTTAACCGCTATAGTTTTCCTTGAAAGTTCATAAAAAGCACTATAATCTTGAATTTTTCCAGATTTATCAAGCCAACAGTTTAGTTTTTAGCGGGGGGGAACGCCCTACTCGGACAAAAATTGGCACTTTAAACTTTAACATTTTGCAAACGGATCCCTAAATCGAAAAATGGTCTTAGAAACCCCTAAGCCATTTTAAAAGACCGACCCACTTTACATGTAGGGGAGCTAAAAAAAATTTTTTTTTTCAAAATTTTATTCTACCGTTTTGTCGTCGTGATTAATATACATACCTCTACAAAATTACAGCTCCCTAGTGCCAATAGTTTCCAAGCAAAACCTCGGACAGACAGACAGCCAGACATATCGAAACTAATTAGGGGTTCCTTGTCAGGACTAAAAATGATATTTGTATGATAATAATAATATAATAATAATAATAAATCTTTGGACAATTTCACACAGCGCCAGCTAGCCCCAAAATAAATGATGATAATGTCAAAATTATAAAACAAGTTCTTTTTTTATCAAAATCGATTTTGCTAGATTATTAGTGATTTTGTAGAAAGGAACAATAGACTAGGTACTTCTGTAAAAAAACAATGTGACCCTAGTACTAACCGCTGTCACTACACGTGTTTTTCTGGATCTATTCGTAATCAGTGGGCTTAGTGCGACTTTACACAATCGTCATCCGCTAGCGACTGCGTAAAAAATGACATTTAAATGTATGATGATTGTACAGCGTCCCTAGCAGATACTTTCAAGAACTAAAATCTTAAACCACAGTAGATAAATCAAACAGTACGGAAGCTTCATACAAACGCTCGAAATCAGACTCACGCACACAGACGCACGCTTTACACGAGCTCTAAGCGAACCTCGCAGTCCATCCGTCGCGAGTGTCGCGCGCGTTGTGTTTCTAATAATAATTTTATTGCATGCACTGTCCGCTGTATTTTCAAAAAACATGCCACGAGTGTATTGCGTAGTATACGGCTACTTTAACTCGGCATCTTCAAAACCAGAACTTTAATTTTTAAACTTCGTAATAACTCTGAATTGTAAAAATGAATAAATATTACTTTTTAAATAAAGTGCTTACATCTGATTTTGTAATAGTTCTTTTTAAATTACGTAATTACGCTTTTTAACAATTAATGTGTTCTATTTGATAAACTAATTTGCTCCGCGCGCCTTAGTACTAACTAAGTGATGAACTGTATTTAAAATGAGTCAAAAGCTATGTGAAAGTAAGTATCCGGTATTTTATTTATGAGAATAGAATATCTTCTACCGGCCTCTAATAGTACTTAATCAATTTATTCGATTATGTATTCAATCATTATAGAACCTAATTATTTGATAATTAAAAAACCTAAATAAACGTTTTAACAAATAAGTAAGTCAGAACCTTATTAATTTTATAAAGATTAAGAGTGCCAACCCTAACACTCAGTTGAAGTGTAGGTATTTAACTCGCCGAAAGGGCTAAGTTTCCGTACTGCTTTAGCTCATATATCTACTGTGCTTAAACTTTATAGATCTTTTTGATGCACTCGTTAGCAACAACGTTAAAACACACAAAAAAATGTTTCTCAGTTATATTACTCCAAAACTATTAAATTTCGGATTTTTTTTAATATCACGTGATATTTGGGGGTGGGGGAGGGGGTCAGGCAAAATCTCACCAAATCTCACCAAGGGGGGCGGGGGGGTTGAAAAATAGCCAAAATTGTCTCACATAATTTATGGACGCCCCCTTGCTTGAAGTGAAGTGCGTGTCTACGCTATCTTACTTAGATCTTCAGAGTAGTGTAGCTGAGGTATAAGGATTATATCCTACAGCAGCTAGACTAATAATATTTTAACTATGTCTACTTTTTCAGTTTATACAAACGCGACGAGCGATGCCTCTTCCTATACGTGAGCGAGAACTCAGACGACTTCCAAATATTCCTCCCTTCCGAAGGGTGCAGGCAGCGACTTCACGATTTGTTGGGGGAAATGACCGCAGACCACGAGAAAGTCACCGATTTGGACACCAGTGTCATGCAGGATCAGTTGAAGGTAAGATTTTACAAAGGTTCGAATGTTTCCATCCCTCTCACGCAAAGCGAGATGCCAGCATGAGTGAGTGACAGATAGACCCGAAACTACGTAAACAACGTTTCGGAGTAGCCCTCCTGGAACGGGATCGAAACCAAATCACAACAACTATTACCTTTAATCGGCGAATTTTTAGCTTGTTATGACATTCAAGTTACGTACGTAATAGTAGTTCCCCTGAAGCGTTTTTCTCGTGATTTATGATCTTACTAGCACATGTATACGCTCGCACGAGAGGAAGTTTGCTCGTGTGTTAGAAAATACGCGAGTACAAATGAGAATTTGAAACTATTAGATTAAAATAACAAAGAGTATTTTTCTCATAGATGTTCAATACCTACTACATAAACATTACTTTTACCACATTTGTTTTAAATATTGTGACGTCATATCGTAATAAGGGAGAGTCCGCTAATTTGGACCAGTTTTTTTCAATCCCATTTTACACATAGTTTTCTTTTGTTTTTGCTAATGTCCATGGTATATAATAAAAGATACATTATTCAACTTACTATTTCCTAAGTATTAATTAACATGATTGTTGTATATTTAGCACAAATCAACAAAGTACGAGTTCAGAGCTTCGGTCCAATTTAGCCAACCGGTTCGATAATTTGTACCACAGGGTTACTAAATTGGATTTCAATAAATTTCAAGCCTTTAAAAAAACTATCGCAAAATATTATACGATACATTCTTAACAAATTAGGAAACGAAGAGGAACAGTAGTTAATAACATAGACAATCCATATTGTTTTACACGTTATCACGATTTTGAGTACAAGTTTTGTAATTCCAATTATCGTAACGCACACTTGTACCTAATCTACTTTGCCAGTCTTTTGCTTTCATTTATTGTTAGTCAAACATAACTACGCTATTATAACTTCAAAATATAATTTACTAAAAAAAAATTCAAAATCCGTTGGTAAAGTTCCATACAACTTGATGTGGTACAATTTAGCCGACTAGGCGATAGTGCTTTTAAAAAATCGGTAAAAAATATAGCTTATAAATACCGAAAAATGTTTCAAATAATTGTAATCCACACTAATTTACGCTTCTAAATAATATATTAGAAACACCCTGTGATTAAATTTAACAAAATTACAATCCAAACATGTATTGTCAAAAGTTACTTGAAAACAATGAAAAAATACTTTTCAAAATAAAACACACGTGTTTGTTGTCACGGCAAAAACCACATGGCCGATATTAATTGATTTTAGTTGTGTATCACTGAGTGTTGCAATTACAGACATTCAATAAATACTTTACGAAATATGAGGGTGGTACAATTTACCCGGCGGTACAATATACCGAACTCTCCCCTATATGTTGGTTTTCTGTTTTAGTAAGTAGCACGTGCCCTTCATAGCTCGTTTGCCATCGTCATAGTTCGTAAATCAAGATTGCCAATTTATCAACATGAAGAGCGAAATATCATATCACTTATCAATAAATTCAATATTAATAATCGTATAATATCGAAATCGTGCTATTGATAGTTGTTATCGGTTATTTACAAACGTTATTGATAAGATAACTTTGTCATTCACGCACGTTTGTTGCATAACTTTGTTGTAGATAGTATCGCACTTGAATATACTTAGACAATAAGTGCAATTACGATAAAATATTTTGCGTAGCTACTTAGTATCTGTTTCATCAGTTTATGATTAAACTTTAATGCCTCCATGATCTAGTGACGAAGGATTCAGCTTATCTATGACCTTATAATTTGATTCTTTACTTATTTATGACCAGTATAGTAGTTCATTAAGGGCAGATTTTTCAATCGTCGGGCAACTTATAGCTAAAGAATAAGTTTGGCACATTGACAGTTTCAGTATGGAAAATAATTATGTCAGTTTATTCTTCAGTTAAAAGTTAAATGACGATTGAAAAATGGGCCCTAAGTCTGACAGGGTTGTGCTCTCAGTTGTTATAACCTTCATAAGAGAAGAAGTTAACTTTTAACTTAAATAACTTGTACGAGTAAATGTATTAAAAAACATTATTTTATCCAAAGACTATTTTTCCAGTTTGAATACGAGTTGGACGATTGCAACAAACGCGTGGTGCTTGGTAAAGGCACGTACGGCGTTGTATACGCGGCCAGAGATCTCAACACGCAAGTCCGTATCGCAGTCAAGGAGATTCCTGAGAAGAATCTTGGTGATGTCCAGCCTTTACATGAGGAAATCATGCTGCATTCACAGCTGAGGCACAGGAATATCGTTCAGGTATGATAGTATGTAAAAAGTCTTGTGGATTCGGGAGTGTAGGATAAGACCACTCTCACACTTCCCGTGCATGTCCTAAAGGGACAAATATGTGAATACTAGCTTTCCGACCGCGGCTTCGCCCGCGTGGAATTTTTTCTGTCATAGAAAAACTTTATCGCGCGCGTCCTTGTTTCAAAAACCGGTATAAAAACTATCCTATGTCCTTTACCGGGACTCAAACTATGTTTATGCCATATTTCATCAAAATCGGTTCAGTGGTTTAGGCGTGAAAGTGAGACAGACAGACAGACAGAGTTACTTTCGCATTTATAATACAGGGTGGCCCAGAAGAAAGTTCACTTTTGAAAAGATGATGATAAAGCTGGTATGTCAGTGCGCCATCTGTCGCAGAACCGATGAAAAGTCTAAATAGGTCACTGGTTAAGAAAAGCTAGTGATCGTTCTTTATGACGCTCCATAAAGAGAATCATCATCATCACTTCAGCCATAGGACGTCCACTGCTGAACATAGGCCTCCCCCAATGCTTTCCATGTTGATCGATTGTTAAGTAATGTTCTTCACTCATTAAAAATTTTCTAGACGTATAGTTCAGAAGTTCAGGTCCCTTACAGAAACGATCTTACATTAAATAAATATTTATTTTATTTTTGCAGTACCTTGGATCAATCTCTGAGAATAACTACTTCAAGATTTTCATGGAGCAAGTGCCTGGAGGTTCTTTGTCCGCTCTTTTAAGGTCCAAATGGGGTCCGTTGAAAGAAAACGAAGCCACAATCGCTTATTATACCAAACAGATCCTTGAAGGTTAGTATTTAAAAAGTTATTAATCTTGAAACCTTCCCAAAAGTTGATAAAACATACAGAAGTGCTATTAAGTTAAGATTGATGTAGCATCTTCGTGATCGTTCAAAAATGAATACGTATTTTTGAAGTATTTGAATTACTGTTTTATTATTATGCCGTAAAATATTAATTTTAACCTAAAAATTTTTCATATACAAATTGTAATGAAGAATTTTGCAGGAATTTTCATATTCTAAATACCTGAAACGATGCTTCTATTTCATGATTTCTTCTTTTGACATTTGTCAATTCAAATTAGCACGTGGATATAGATGACCCAAGCTGAACTGTCCCACCAAACTCAATGACAGGGGGGCGCTACCATCGTTCAACTATATGGTTTCCAACATGGCAAAAATCGGAACCAGCGATCCGGTATTGACGGTGGCGCCCCACTGTCAATGTCATCGATAGGACAGTTCACTATTTTGGAACTATAACAAGATTATAGTGTAATTTCTTCACCTCTCAGGTCTAAAATACCTCCACGACCAAAAAATCGTCCACCGCGACATAAAGGGCGACAACGTTCTCGTGAACACATACAGTGGTGTGGTGAAGATATCCGACTTCGGGACGTCAAAGCGACTGGCCGGGCTGTGCCCTTCGACTGAAACATTCGCGGGGACATTGCAATATATGGCCCCGGAGGTCATAGATAAGGGGCAGAGGGGGTACGGAGCGCCTGTGAGTATTAGCGACTTCATTATACCTACATCGCTGTGGTGAAGATATCCGACTTCGGGACCTCAAAGCGGTTGGCCGGGCTGTGCCCTTCGAATGAAACATTCGCGGGGACATTGCAATATATGGCCCCGGAGGTCATAGATAAGGGGCAGAGGGGATACGGAGCGCCTGTGAGTATTAGCGACTTTATTATACCTACATATCTGTGGTAAAGATACCCGACTTCGGGACGTCAAAGCGTTTGGCCGGGCTGTGCCCTTCGACTGAAACATTCGCGGGGACATTGCAGTATATGGCCCCGGAGGTCATAGATAAGGGGCAGAGGGGGTATGGAGCGCCTGTGAGTATTAGCGATCTTATTGTGAAGTTATAAGACTCTATTTTGAATGAGGTTTGATATTCTCATAATAATTTTGGTCACATGAAATATTGGACTATTTGTTTTAGGATACATACTGGTACTTTTTTACACCTTTGTGTTATTAGATTCTGAATTTCAGTCTGCTATAAGATGTAGTCATCTTGTAGCCTTGTCATAAAGTGACGAATACTTTTCTCTTGCCTGACGCTCAAAAACTCATTGTCTTTATAAGAAATTTTCTTTTATAGGCTGACATTTGGTCTTTGGGATGCACCGTAGTAGAAATGGCAACAGGCAACCCACCGTTCATCGAATTAGGATCACCACAGGCGGCGTTGTTTAAGGTAAACTTTTATCAACTATTATTTAGTGATTACATAGGTTTTTGTATATTTTATTAGGTATAAAGTAACTTGAAACTTTTTTTAAAGGTCGGATACTATAAAACGCACCCAGAGATTCCAAATGAGCTGTCGCAGAGAGCGAAAAATTTCATCTTACGCTGTTTCATACCTGAACCGGAGCAGCGAGCTACCGCTGCTGAATTGCTTGAAGACCCATTTTTGTGCGAGTAAGTACAGAGATTAAAAATTATACCAACATTATGACCTTAAAATCACGAGAGAGTGGCACTTTCTGGGTAAGCTCACTCCACCATATATCTCATCTGCACTTTCCCTTCGGTGAGATTGATATCAATGGCAAGCTCATAAAAAAACGTACATAAATAATTCCCATGTTTTTACTATTGTGAGATGCAGATTAAAAATAATTTTATATCGTGATTTGATATAGGTATCTGATATTGATTTACGTTATCAACACTAATTTAACAAATTATATTTCAATTAGTCGTACTAATTGGATTTTCCATTTGAATCTTGCGCCTCAATTAAATCGTATTATCTAATTAATATCAATTGTGCTGATCAATTAAGTTTTAAAACACAGTCATTCACTCGAATTGACTCGATTTTGAATCTACCTAAATGTAGTTTCTGAGGTAAATTAGATCTAAAATGCCAAATTCTTCAGCCGAACTAAGATGCGCATGATAAAATCTTATCGACGATTTAAGACGACAAATGTACAGGCTTGTCGTCTAAAATCAATAAATTCGTCGTAAGATTATACCGTGGCGCGCATCTTAGTCCGGCTGGTCCGTTTAAGTTTTAATCTATACTAATATTATAAATGCGAAAGTAACTCTGTCTGTCTCACTTTCACGCCTAAACCACGGAACCGATTTTGATGAAATTTGGCATAGAGATAGTTTGAGTCCCGGGAAGGGACATTGGATAGTTTTTATCCCGGTTTTTGAAACGGACGCGCGCGATAAAGTTTTACTGTGACAGACAAAATTCCACGCAGGCGAAGCCGCGGGTGGAAAGCTAGTTTCGTCATAAAATTAATTCCATTTAATCTCATTATCTTCTAGAAAGAAGAAGCAACCCAGTCGTCTCGGCAGTAGCATGGACTACAGCCGGAGTATATCTGTCCCCGCCGACAAAGCCAGACCCCAGCTAGCTCAGAAGAAGATATCTGAGCCTTCTTTACCTGGAAACCTGCCTAGCTCCCCTGAGATTGAGTAAGTATTCAATAAATTAATTAAAATATTCATTGATACCCATAGGTCACAAATCGATATCGATCTATCCTTCTCTCTCGCTCACTTTGAAACGCGTAAAGGTACGTCTTAATTAGGATCAGTTTTTAGCAACTAAGCGGTTGGCACAGCTAGAGCCACTATTCTAAACTAATTAAGCCACTATGATTTGAGAATTCAGCAAACTTAAAACCTGTTTTGCTCTCATGGGAATGTACCTTTATGTGACAGTGAGAGAGATGGATAGAGTAAATATGTAAAAATCTGTGCTAAGGATTGAAAATTCTAACTGTACCTGATTTTAAAAGTTAGAAGAAGTAAAGTAGAAGTGTAGAATAATTTTAATCCTTAAAGGCATGATTTCTGTTGTTTTCCGTGTTCAAATCAATCGCATGGATTCTTAGACGCAGTTTACACGTGCATTAGTTTTAGTGAATGCATGGTTTTAGAGTTAAAGCTGAGTTTTAGCGTTAGCATGATATAATTTTGTTATTTTGGCGAATGAGGTTGATTTGTTTTTATTTCATTCTCAACCCACAAGATTTAAAATAAAGAACTTTTAAAATTACATCGTCAAATCAACTCATATCTGCCAATGTCTCATACTGTAGTTAAATACACTTAAATTCCCATTATTTAAAAGAGGATTTTGGTAATAAAATTCTTACTAATTAAACTCAAGAATGCTTCTTGTATCTACAATAATCAAGTAATTTTATTAATGTATTACATTTATATGAGTTTTAAATGTCTATGGGGACACGGACACATTATATTTAAATTCGCATGAGATATAACTTTTAATATTAAATAAGAGATTGTGCAATATTAAACGAAACTTATGCTTAGATAACTTTCAAAGTACTGCTATCGTGAAAATCGGAATGCGGTGCCATAGTAAAAGAAAACAGTAAAGCACCTTCATATTAGCATCTCAAGGACGTAGCGCATTTTTATTAACCCGGTGTTGACCCCTTTCTGGGTTGATAAGTGTGCTATAACCTTTATTCTTTCTTTTCAAACTTAGTAAGCAAACAGCTAAAAAAAGGAAATATGTACGAAACAACTACATATTAAAGATATTTTTGATAACTCCGTCAAATAACTTATTATTTACTAAATTGAAATTTCATCTGAATTTGCGACTTAAGTAGTTTGAAGATGCTTTACTTTTGCCTTATTTATATATTGGGGCGAATGTTCACAGTCTGCCTGTCCTTGTCGTTTCGATGTTACCATCATACTATCAGTTTGGTGGCAGGAGCTTGTGTCGATATTTATTGCTGGATTGAGTTTTACATGAAATCAATTGGCATATATACATTCCCATTATTTCCTCTTGACTGAAGTCTATGCTTCATTTTATTCAGTATCATAAGAAATACTTCTTTATATGTGTTTAGAAACATAGTATATGAGAGATCATTTTATGTGAATTTTATCAAAATTGTTGCTGCAAATCTACATGCAACGATAGAATAGATTTCGATATCGAAGTTATACAGGCCATTGCAAAGAACATAAGCGACAGAACGCAAGATGTTTTCATTTCATTGATTATAAATTCATTGATGCCTGCATCGTGTGAAATGAAGTGATAATATGCTAATAAACAAACGTCCTTCACCCCGCATCGTTATAGAAGCAGAAACGCCAAAAAAGACTCTCAAAAGTCGCACATTTCAACTCCCACGGTTGTTAACACCTGTCTTAACATATGTCGTTTGCTTTGCACCTAAGCCTGTGTTTGTTTTCCCGCAAAAAGGGTGAAAACGATCCGGTCTAACCCGACGATTACACGGACGGCTTCGTCGATGCTCTCACCGATACTGATATACCCACCGGACTTGTCTACTAGCAGGTAATTTTAAGCGTTTTTAGTGTCATGCGAATTGGTCCACGCACGCGGCATTTGACAGAATAGGACCCCATCGGGATTCTGTATGTAATTTGATCAATCAGAGCAAAATAGGTTCACTCCCACTTATTCCATGAACGTAAGAGACGACTCAGGACATCAGGCCTGGGGTGGCCTGGTGTCCTTAGTCGTCTCTAATAAGACGCTTAGCCAGAATGTAGAGAGTAAACGGAGAAACGTTTGCCTCTGATAAGTTAGAAAAGGTTGCGTCGTGTTCCAGCAGGCTTATTCCACTATTCCCCGTTGACAATCCCCGTCAACGGGGATTAGTGAACTTTTTGTTCACTATTCCCCGTTAACGTTAAATTGTAACTTATAATGGGGAATAATGAACTAAAAAGTTCATTAATCCCGTTAACGTTAAATTGTAACTTATAATGGGGAATAATGAACTAAAACGTTCAAAATAAAATCCTAATAATAACGGGGATTAATGAACTTTTTAGTTCATTATTCCTCATTGAAAAGCTCCAATTGGCGTTAACGGGGATTGTCAACGGGGAATAGTAGAATAAGCCGCCTCAGCAGTGGAAACCAAAATGTTGTAGACATTGCCAGATTAATCCGCGTATCAGACGTGCTTTAATAAATCATGGATTAGAAAAATAGTATTATTAGGCCAATCTCGCGTGCGTGGAATAATACGCCTGACACTGAAAATGCTCAAACAGTTTAAATGCACCTTAAAGAGTTCATAGAATACTATATTTGTCAGCTACTTTCAACTCTTATCGATATAGCGGAAGCTATTTTGATTCTTATTTTATCTGCAATAATTAAAAAAATGCAGCAGATATTAAGTACTTTATTAACTTGACCAAGTGAGTGGAAGAAAAATAGCGCTAAAAGGACATTGTCAAAGTTACAAACTAGTTGCACATACGACAGTGTATATTGTAAAAATAATAATAATAATTTATTTAGATAGCTAACAATAAGGGGAAATAAAATTGTAATGAGATTAATATTATTGAATATCGTTAATAGTAAATCATTTCATTTCTTAAGTTAAAGGTATACTTCAAAATCATAAAATATTGCATTCTATGAAATCATTTTAACACAATCACAAACCATAAGCTTTTTCACTTCACCAAAACCACCAACACATTTTTGTAGTCAAAATTTTACATACAGTTTTCGTGTAAATGCTCAGTCATTATTACTAACGCTATATTTACTAACCTTTTGTATTACAGTTAAATAAATATATGAAATTAGTTTAACTACGAAATAGACCGTTAAGGAAGCATGTTCTGACTGTTCCTTAAATATATTTGCAAGAAAATTAAATATGGCTCTAGAAAAGTCAATACACGTAAAAAAGCATGCTTCCAAATCCTATGTATTGTTAATATTAAAATGTTATATGTATCCCTACAGTACTATGCCAAATACTCCGTCCACCGATGAGATGGATAGTAGCGATACTATCCTCAACAGGCGGAGTTCTTCGGGAGGTCTGCTGTCACCTGAGGTAATTAAATTAAAAATATTTATTGCCAGATTAAATATACAAGAAGACTCATAAATGGTTCAGTTTTGAGTAGACATATTATACAAAACTAAATTGGTGGCAAATTACCTGTACTAAAGTGCCGTCGCCGAGCAGATAGAATTTCGTACAATGACCCCAAGCTACCCATCCTTATCGCTCATGTGTAATTTATTGCTGTCGCGGCTGTGCAAAGGGCGGCCGCAGTGAGTGACTGCTCGGCGACCGGATTTTATAATCCCTTGCACGAATGTTCACTCATTACAAGTCACCCTGTATAACTTTCACTACTTGGTAATATTATAAATCTTTGGACAAATCTTTGGACAATTTCACACAGCGCCCGCTAGCCCCAAAGTAAGCAACTCAATGCTTGTGTTATGGGTGCTAGCTTAACGGATATACTACTTATATACTTTTTTTTTTATTAAATACATACATATTATACATATTTACACCCAGACCCGTCACAGAAATTAAAATTCATCATTTCAATTTCTGCCCGGCCGGGAATCGAACCCGGGACCTCTCGGCATAGTAGTCCGTTCTGAACCACTACACCAAACGGCCGACAATATTCTTGTTGTTTCAGCCGAAAGACGTCCACTGCTGGACAAAGGCCTCCCCCAAGGATTTCCACAAAGTCCGGTCCTGCGCCGCTTGGGAATATTCTTAATTTCATGTTTTTTTTTCAGGTGGACATGACAAGCGTACCTCGTTCATCAATAGACGTAGAGCACGATGGATTTTATCTATTGAAAAAAGACTCACAACGCCGTCTCACTCTTTCACGAGTGTTGGAGCAGGACAGTGAAAAAATCTGCTCAAAATGGATGTTGAGTGTACAACAGGACTTTGGTAACACTCTTCTTACGATGGTGAGTTGGTCAAGTGTTAATTTGCTCCAACATTTTATTAAAAAGAAATAATAAAATACTTAGTTAGTCAAAAAATGCCGGCTACAGTGACTGGTTGGGAAGATATGTAAATAGATGTAACCTAACCAGTAACAGTGACTTGACGGGATATTTCTTTCTCCAATTCAGAGTCACATTGTTACACGTTACCTACATTATGACTGGTTCGGAACAAGCGGAAAAAACCGCTTATAAGATACATGCCTAAGAACGCTAAGGACTTGTCACATTTTGTTCAATGATTTTACGCCCGTATTCACAAACGATGCTTGCTTAAGTGCAGCAGCAAATCGAAAGCACCGCGTTGAATAGGGCTCTGTGATTGGTTCGTGTGTCACCCCGTGCGTCCACGCGCACTGTGAGACGTCATAGTAACGTTTGTGAAAACTGGCGTTATTGACAAATAAATATCTTTTTCAACAGCATCACCTAGAAACCCTCCGCCTAGCGCTCAAGGACTACATAATGGACCAGAACAGAAGCGTCATAGAACAAGCCATCACAACCTTGAAGGAGGAACTGGACTTCGACTCCAAGGCCATAAACGAGCTTCATGCCGCCATCTATATGTTCCAAGAGGCAGTGAATGCGGTGCTGAGGATGCACAGCATAAAGCCCCATTGGATGTTTGCGCTGGATAACTTAGTGAGAAATGCTGTGCAAGCTGCTATTACTGTGTTGTCGCCAGGTTAGATGATTTTGATTTTTTAGATAATTTTCATTACGTTTCTAGTACAATCTGTAATTTTTTCCGTAAAATAACAGTAACGAATGCCATCTGCAAGATCAGACAAAAGTGAAGAATGTATTAAAACTGGTTGGATTTTTTAACTTGTACAAATCACAAGCTTGTAACTATTATTGAATAAAGATTCAGCTCTAGTGTCGCTATATCGTCATAAGAATCGTCTTGGTTTTATAAGTTTCGTAACTCTGTAATCTATTCTGCTGAGTTTCAAACGAACAGCAACAATAAGTATTTTTCTCAGTAAATTTTTACATCGTTCTAGTAATACAAGTTATTTGCCTATCTCAGAATACAAGTTATTTGCCTATCTCAGAATACAAGTTATTTGCCTCTAAATAAGTCTTTTCACCCTTGCAACCAAAGTTTCCTTGAATAAAGCTAGTAACTTTTCTTGAATAAAGATTCAGCTCTAGTGTCGCTATATCGTCCTAAGAATCGTCTTGGTTTTATAAGTTTCGTAACTCTGTAATCTATTCAGCTGAGTTTCAATCGAACAGCAACAATAAGTATTTTTCTCAGTTAATTTTACATCGTTCTAGTAATACAAGTTATTTGCCTCTAAATAAGGGTAGCGCATTTTCTTACATAACTTTTCAATTCCTATCATTGGAGGTCCGAAAATATTTCTCATACAATTTGATACCATAATGATCATTCTTCATAAAAAAATTAAAACCTACATATTTAAAAACATAATCATTGATATTCATAATATCACTAATCATACACTTAGTTTTTACTAACATTTGTTTTCTTATATTTTTCTATACTAATGATCGAAACTCATAATCATTCGAATAAATAACTATAATATTCATAAACGTGATGTATCCTAATATTTGTTTTCATAAATTTATGACTCATAAGTGTATTTATCCATATTATTGAAAATCATGATGTCTATATTCGTATTTTAACATTATATTAATTTGAAATGGTCCAAAACAGGCAATATTTTGGCCACAAAACTAACGTGACAGAAACGAATCGCTGCAAAACCGACTCCACGTAGTCTTGTCTGCCCTACCCCTAGAGTGTAATTTAAAAGCCGGAGGCGCGGAGGGAGGGCAGCCCTCGCCCGCTGTAACGAGGCTCAGGCGCCCGGGCGAGCTGGAGCGGCTGAGGCTGGTCGCCGAGGCGCCGAAGGCGCCGATGGCGGTCCAAAAAGCCGAAGCTGCGGAAGCAAGCGTGGGTGCCTGAGCCTCGTTACGCAAGGGCGGAAGGGCTGCACATCCCGCAGCGCCGGAGACGAGGAGATACCAATGCATGCTGCATGCTTGCTTTCATGCTGCATGCTCTGCTGATTTTTTTTAAAGATACGAGTATATCTGTTATAAAGTAAATTATTCTGAACAACAACATTATGAGTTGAAGTATGTTCTTAGTAACAACATTATTAATTAAAACAATATGATCAATGAATGTTATGAAGAAAAAAGATCTGAAACTAAAAATTATGTATTTTAAATGGTTCTTGGTAGTAACAGTATTGATAAAAAAATTATGATTACTAACTGTTATGAGCTCCGATGATAGTAATAAAAATGTATGAATAAAAAAAGTATGAAAAATAAAATTATGAAGAGAGATTATTATGAACACAAATCGGTAGTAAGACAAAGAATAGGATTTAGAATTTTATGTGAGCCAATATAGAACCCTAAATAAGTTTTTTCACCCTTGAAACCAAAGTTTCCTTAGTTGTCAAAAGCAGATTCCAGTTCTATTGTTACAAAATCCAGCATATCCATGTTTGGTGCATCTAAAATGTATTCCTTTAACCATTCCAGAGCTAGGCGCCAACTTGGCGGGACAAGAGTCTCGGCGCGGCGCCAACAGCGGCTGCGCGGCGGCCGACGTGGCCACTCCTTCAGCCGTGTCCACCGCCAACTCCCGCGACCACCAGCTACACCAGCTGCGCCAGGAGAACCACAAGTGAGTAGCTAGAGCCGGCGCCAACTGGCGGCAGGAGTCTCGCGGCGCCAACAGCGGCTGCGCGGCGGCCGACGTGGCCACTCCTTCAGCCGTGTCCACCGCCAACTCCAGGGACCACCAGCTACACCAGCTGCGCCAGGAGAACCACAAGTGAGTAGCTAGAGCCGGCGCCAACTGGCGGCAGGAGTCTCGCGGCGCCAACAGCGGCTGCGCGGCGGCCGACGTGGCCACTCCTTCAGCCGTGTCCACCGCCAACTCCCGCGACCACCAGCTGCACCAGCTCCGGCAGGAAAACCACAAGTAAGTGATCCAAATGAGAAGGCAAGATAATCATCACCAGGAAATCTCGTTTCTACTGCAGGACCATTACCAGAGGAATATGGATACTCCCCACACTGATTTGACTGTAGTCTGGTCCGTGAACACGTAGAATTTTGTCCAATGACCCCTAGCTACCCATCCTTATCGCTCGTGAGTAATTATGTAGCTATCGCGCTCGCACACTCACTGCGGGTGCCAGTCGCACAGTCGCGACAGCAATATAATTACGCGCGAGCGATAAGGATGGGTAGCTGGGAGTCATTGGACAAAATTCTACGTGCCCGCGGACCGGGCTTTAGTTGGAGAGGCCTTATGTTCACAGATTAGTCCCTTAGTCGCCTCTTACGACATCTACCAAACGAGTGAGAGTGGTTCTATTAAACTCTACTTGAGAGTGGTTCTATTAAACTCTGCCTTAAAACTACCTAACTACTACGTGATTTTGTAGAAAATATGATAAGTCACTACTCAGAGAGAGAAAGCTACTAACAATACTAACGTGTATGTTGTTTCAGGTTACACCAAGAGCTGATAGACAGCTATCAGCAGTACCAGGCGTTGCTTAGACAAATACTTGAAGAGCAGCGAATGCAGACTCAAGTTATGCGAGATCTCGTGGACAGGAGGCCGAGGTAAACATCTTCCAGTCTAATAAAAGTTATTAATATCATAGACAAACAATAGGAATGACGATTCGTACTTATGTGCAGCACATAGTTATGACCTATTTTTCTGTGTCTCGTTTGTGGGGCAATAAATGATGAAATGAAAAAGGTGAACTTGTCATTTTCCAATTTTTGGGGATGAATACGAAATGACAGTTTTTCTTGGTCCAAAAGCAATTACACATCGAATATTTAGTCCAGCGCAGCAGCCCTTCTCGGAAACGCTGTTTATGTAAGTAGTTTCATCATCGGTCATGTGGGAATTTCGCTTTGCGCGAGAGGGATGGCAACAATTGAAATTGAAACTTCAGATAGCGTTTTTCGGAGTAGCTCCCGCAGTTGTCTTTGAATACAGAACCTTAGCAAGACATTTTAAATTTTATTAAATCATCAAAGCAAGCTAATAATAAGCAGGGTTCGAAATTGTCAAGATAATTACGCTTCATGATAATTATCGGATAATTATCAACAGTATAAGATACATTTTTCATATAGTTTCATAAGAAATTCTGACGTTACATTGTTTTAAGTCGAGTTATTCATTTCGAATGTTGCTTTATGTTTTAGTTGCTTATTGTTGTCAAGTTATCTATAAAAATAGATAAATATTTTGACGCTAGCTAAAAGAGTGATCGTTGTGGAGCTAAATAGATATAGGTTTTATAACTATCTATGTTGATTAACGCCCGAAGCAAGTGCGGAAATACACGTTCGAAAACTTCGAATACAGTTCACTTTCACAAGTGCATTTTTTTATTATCAACCGATAATTATCCATCTGTTATTATCAAGATAATTATCGTTTCGAACCCTGATATTAATAAATAAATTTTACTTCTCAGGAGTGAAAGTCCTGCAGAGATAGACGAGGAACAGTACAGCATCCTCCGCGAGTGGGCGTGCCCTAGAGGCGTGCCCGACTCGGCGGCGCGCGCGCTCGCGGCGCACGAGTACACGCTCGGCGACCTGCTGGCGCACGCGCGGAGGGAGGACATCGCCCGGCTCCAGCTCAAGTAAGTGGCGGTGTCTCGGGTCCATCTTAAGTAAGTGACGGTATATCCTTAAGTGAGAGTCCCCAAGAGACAGACGAAGAACAGTACAACATCCTCCGGGACGCCTTTAGGGCTAAAGGCGTGCCCGACTCAACGAGTATACACTAAACGATTTCTAGCCAAACTCACATAGGGAGGACATAACTAGGCTGCATCTCAAGTAAGTGACGATATATCAGAAGGGAAAGCCCCGTGAGTTAGTAAGTAATGATATCTCAGGAGCGAAAGCTCCCGAGAGGTAGACAAAGAACAGTACAATGATCCGAGACAAGGCGTGTCTTAAAGGCGTCCGACTTAATGAGTATACTTACAATTAAAAAGAGGGAGGACTTAATTAGGCTCAGTCTCACTCAAGTAAGTGACTGTAAATCCTCAAGTGAGAGCCCCCAAGAGACACGAGGAACAGTACAGCATCCTCCGCGAGTGGGCGTGCCCTAGAGGCGTGCCCGACTCGGCGGCGCGCGCGCTCGCGGCGCACGAGTACACGCTCGGCGACCTGCTGGCGCACGCGCGGAGGGAGGACATCGCCCGGCTCCAGCTCAAGTAAGTGGCGGTGTCTCAGGTCCATCTTAAGTGAGTGACGGTATATCCTCAAGTGAGAGTCCCCAAGAGACAGGCGAAGAGCAGTACAACATCCTCCGGGACGCCTTTAAGGCTAAAGGCGTGCCCGACTCAACGAGTATACACTAAACGATTTCTAGCAAAGCTCACATAAGGAGGACATAGCTCGGCTCCAGCTCAAGTAAGTGACGATGTGTCAGTAGTCAGTAGAGAGAGCCCCCGAAAGTTAGTAAACTTAGTAATGACATCTTGGAACGAAAGCTCCCGAGAGTCAGACGAAGAAAGTACATTTGTCCGAGACTGGGCGTGCCCTAAAGACGACTCATTAACGAGTATACAAAACAGAGGGAGGACATAGCCTAGCTCCATCTCAAGTAAGTGACGATATAAACATGACTTGAAAGAATCGACTGTCTAGGTGAGACTTGAAGCTACGACATTTCGCTTACTGGATCTAACGAGTTTGCGCTCAGCGATTTCTAGCATCACGCGCAGAGGGAGGACATAGTCAAGCTCCATCTCAAGTAAGTGACGGTATATCCTCAAGTGAGAGTCCCCAAGAGACACGAGGAACAGTACAGCATCCTCCGCGAGTGGGCGTGCCCTAGAGGCGTGCCCGACTCGGCGGCGCGCGCGCTCGCGGCGCACGAGTACACGCTCGGCGACCTGCTGGCGCACGCGCGGAGGGAGGACATCGCCCGGCTCCAGCTCAAGTAAGTGGCGGTGTCTCGGGTCCATCTTAAGTAAGTGACGGTATATCCTCAAGTGAGAGTCCCCAAGAAACAGGTGAAGAGCAGTACAACATCCTCCGGGACGCCTTTAGGGCTAAAGGCGTGCCCGACTCAACGAGTAATAAACTAAACGATTTCTAGCAAAGCGCACATAGGGAGGACATAACCAGGCTCCAGCTCAAGTAAGAGACGCATTAAACATGACTTGAATGAATCGACTGTCTAGGTGAAACTTGAAGCTACGACCTTTCGCTTACTGGATCCAACGAGTTAGGCTATTTCTAGCATCACGCGCAGAGGGAGGACATAGCCAGGCTCCATCTCAAGTAAGTGACGGTATATCCTCAAGTGAGAGCCCCCAAGAGACACGAGGAACAGTACAGCATCCTCCGCGAGTGGACGTGCCCTACAGGCGTGCTCGACTCAACGAGTATACACCTCAACAGAGGGAGGACATAGCTAGGCTCCATCTCAAGTAAGTAACTATAACTCAGAAGCGAAAGCCCCAAGAGTTAGTCAGTAATGATATCTCAGGGGCGAAAGCCCCCGAGAGTTAGACGAAGAACAGTACAATTATCCGAGACTAGGCGTGTCTTAAAGGCGTCCGACTTAATGAGTATACAATTAAAAAGAGGGAGGACTTAATTAGGCTCAGTCTCACTCAAGTAAGTGACTGTAAATCCTCAAGTGAGAGCCCCCAAGAGACACGAGGAACAGTACAGCATCCTCCGCGAGTGGGCGTGCCCTAGAGGCGTGCCCGACTCGGCGGCGCGCGCGCTCGCGGCGCACGAGTACACGCTCGGCGACCTGCTGGCGCACGCGCGGAGGGAGGACATCGCCCGGCTCCAGCTCAAGTAAGTGGCGGTGTCTCAGGTCCATCTTAAGTGAGTGACGGTATATCCTCAAGTGAGTGACGCAATAAACACGAATTAATTGGTCTTAGAGTGACATAGCTAGGCTCAAACTTAAGTAAGTGACGATGTATTCTCAAGTGAAAGCCCCCGAGAGTTAGACGAAGAAAGTACAATTAGGCGAGACTGGGCGTGCCTGACTCGACGAGTATGCACTAAACGATTTCTAGCCAAACTCACATAGGGAGGACATAACCAGGCTCCAGCTCAAGTAAGTGACTATATCTCAGGTGAATCTTAAATAAGTGACGGTATATTAAAAGCGAAAGCACCCGAGAGTTAGACGAAGAACAGTACATTTATCTGAGACTGTGCGTACCCTAAAGGCGTGCCCGACTCAACGAGTATACACTAAACGATTTCTAGCCAAACTCACATAAGGAGGACATAACCAGGCTTCAGCTCAAGTAAGTGACGATGTGTCAGTAGTCAGTAGAGAGAGCCCCCGAAAGTTAGTAAACTTAGTAATGACATCTTGGAACGAAAGCTCCCGAGAGTCAGACGAAGAAAGTACATTTGTCCGAGACTGGGCGTGCCCTAAAGGCGTGCGACTCAACTAATCAGAGCGAGGACATAGCTAGGCTCAATCTCAAGTAAGTGACGATATCTCAAGTGAGAGTCCCCAAGAGACAGACGAGGAACAGTACAGCATCCTCCGCGAGTGGGCGTGCCCTAGAGGCGTGCCCGACTCGGCGGCGCGCGCGCTCGCGGCGCACGAGTACACGCTCGGCGACCTGCTGGCGCACGCGCGGAGGGAGGACATCGCCCGGCTCCAGCTCAAGTAAGTGGCGGTGTCTCGGGTCAATCTTAAGTAAGTGACGGTATATCCTCAAGTGAGAGANTTATGGACGCCCCCTAAGGGTTAAATAATTAGTTGTTTCCTTTTGAGGTTAAGAATGTTTTTCTTTTAAGAAGCATTTTAGTATTTATGATGCGGAATTTACTACGGCGTAGTAGCATCGTTTTTCTCTAATGTAGCTCGTAATAATTCGAAGAATTCTTATGGCCACATTCCAGCTCCATCATCTGTACCTCTAGTAGGAAAAACTTTCGAGTTCGTTTCGTTGCGTATTCAAAGTGTCATCGAAAAATTTTGTATGAAAAATTAAACAGCGCCCCCTATATTATAGCCGCCCTAGGGGGCGCTGTTTAATTTTTCATACAAAATTTTTCGATGACACTTTGAATACGCAACGAAACGAACTCGAAAGTTTTTCCTACTAGAGGTACAGACCCTGTTTACATATAGAATTGAAGTAGGTACCTACTCGTGATTTGTAAAGTAGTTTACCGTAACTATGTAAACCCTAATGTAAATAAATAAATACAAGTCAAACGAGCCTCAACTCGATGGAGTCGTTTTATTCCGGAGTTCCTATGGGGTCACTGACTTTCTAGCTCTATCATCAGATCAGCTCCATGTCATCATAATATTGCATTGTCATCCGAATTACATGTGTATCCGAAATTTTAACTCAATTGGTTGTCGTCAGGAAATGGGTCTAACTAAGTAATTCAGCTTGCAAAATTCCACCCGAACAAACATACTTTACACACAACATACATTGTAAGCTAAATAAAATAAAATAAAAAATATTATCCCTTACAAAATGTTCATGGATTTGAAATTTTTGTTAAATATAAATACCTTACTATACGGTGCGCTAGTTTAGAATATTTCGGGCGATCACTTGCGCCTGGGTTGAATGACATCGACATCAAGGTTCATCAATTCAAGTTTAAAATAATAGGCAGTAATGTATGAAGAAAGAGCTTCTATTCTGTACCTACCTATGCCCGAGTATTTTTGATCGGTGTCAAATCGGAGTTTTCGTGCGGGGTGCGCGGGTGTTGTGCGAAGCGTGAAGGTCAAACGCTCAAGGTCATTGAGGACTCTAATCGCCTTAAATTAGATAATAGAAATAACAACCCCCAAGGGTGGAAAATTGGGGATGAACTTTTTTATACGCAATATCTCCGCCGATTATAAATCAACTAGCTTTCCGCCCGCGGCTTCGCCCGCGTGGAATTTTGTCTGTCACAGAAAAACTTTATCGCGCGCGTCCCTGTTTCAAAAACCGGGATAAAAACTATCCTATGTTCTTTCCCGGGACTCAAACTATCTCTATGCCAAATTTCATCAAAATCGGTTGCGAGGTTTAAGCGGGAAAGCGTAACAGACAGACAGACAGACAGACAGACAGACAGACAGACAGACAGACAGACAGACAGACAGAGTTACTTTCGCATTTATAATATTAAATATTTTAGTTCTTTTTTGTTTCTTTGAGTAATATTTGATTTTAATATTGATTTGATTTTAAAGGTGGAAGAAAAAACGTAAGAAACTATTAATAGCAGGGTTACTAGCCAATGGATGGCTAATAATGGCTATTAATAGATAATAATCAGTTATTAGTCGGCCGTTTGGTGTAGTGGTTCGAAACGGACTACTATTCCGGAGGTTGCGGGTTCGATTCCCGCACAGTACAAACATTTGTGTGCATGAACATATTTGTTTGTATTGGACTGGGTGTTTTCTATGTATAATATGTATGTATTTACAAAAAAAAAAAAGTATTTAAGTATGTTTATATTCATTGTCTAGTACCCATAGTACAAGCTTTGCTTAGTTTGGGACTAGAAGCGCAGTGTAAAATGTCCAAGGATATTTATTTATTATTTATTTATTATCCAAACTAGCTGGCTACAAACCCATCTCTACTTGAGGCTCTTGATATTGAATGAGCTTTTGAGTTTCATTCAGTGTGAGTATTAGGCACATCTAGTTAGGTACATTTTCTTAAAATAATCACGAGGAGTTCCCAGATAAACCTTAATGAATTGTTACTACTCGACTCGACTCTATTTCTAGCTAATTGTGTTGCTCGTATAACTCTTATGCATATTCGCTGCTCAGATGTTATCTGGCCTCTATATCGGCGGTCTAATATAACTCCCAGTTATCTAGCGCGCGCCATACAGCGGAACCGCGTAGGCGTCGCGATCGATCAGCTGATTGCCTCGGATGGGACCTGCTGACAGCTACACGTCTATATTACTTCCGTTCGATTTAGAGCATTTCTCGTATAGTTAGAGCATTACAATTCGAAGCATACGATAATGATATCAAACGAATCGCGAATGATATCTTATGTATTTTTGTCTTCGAATTTCCAACTTCATCCAAATTTTTCTTTCTTCTTTCAATCTTCCAGGCCACTTGCAAAGATATGTTGCAGTGACAACAGCAAGTCACATAAATATCCAATGGTTATTCCTATTTTAAGTGGATTATATTGCCAAAATTAATAATTAAGATATTATAACATTACCACATTTTACCGAATATTAGCACGTCGCTATTTTCTACTGGTTATCGTACAACTTGCATGTTGTGCTATGATAATGATTAATCAAGGAGACGAATGTGTCCTTAATTCAATTATATGCTCCTGATTGAATAATGTAGTAAACATTTATTTTTCACCGGAAGTGATTGGTAACTGATTTTGTTGCGCTACTTCTTGGCACTTCCCAAATATTTATCTTAAGGTGCGGAACCTCATGAGGAATGTTGAGGTCTCATATCGTTTCGGGGAGCAAATCGGAAAGCATTAAAAAGTAAAGATGCAGAGGCCGCGCCTGCCTCGCTGACACCATTCGTGCTGCCTCTTATTACGCGTGCAAACATCGTTTCGAAAGGATCGTAAACTGGCATGTTTATGTAAACTGATTATTATTTTATCGGAGGACAAAACTCGATACACTTATCGCATAACACGGCAAACACCCGAGAAATTATTTAATTCGCTCACGTAAGCGAATGTATTTGTTTTTTGCAAAATTCCGTTTTATGATACCATTTAACATATTGATTGAATAAGTTTCTTATTATCAGTGTCGTTTTTAATTATTTTTGCTTTTATCACGATAAGCGAACGTGATTTGTTACTATACAGTGTGTAGACATTGCAGTTTTCCTCGTGCAAAAAAATGTGCATTGATGATTGTACCTACTCAACACGGTTTTGTACATTTCATCCTTACTGTCTTCCATCTACTATTTCCTCCTATTATACGTATTATAGCGATTTCCTAGAAAACTAATTTTCAAAATGGGATGAATAGTTTCAGTTGTTATTTCCCCCAAAATTAGGCAATTTCCTTGCAAACAATATCAGTAATCATCGATATTTAACAAAACTTAAGCTGGCGATTGACTTGTTTACATGCACACTAATATTATTATGTAAGTCTATGTAACATTATTACCACAGAGTCATTGGTTTACACGGTTCAGTATCTGCCCTACGTGCTCTGCCTTACTCGATACTCAATTTTAAGTATAGGTAGAGTCGGCGTGAATGTCAAAATAAATACTTTCCAGGACTTTAATGCCTGTTTTCACCATCAATCCCTAATTTTTAAGTGACCCCTTTGGAAACAAAATTCCTGATAAATGCTACCATAGGGGTCACTTAAAAGTTAGGGATTGATGGTGAAAACGGGCATTAGTCCAGTAAAATAAATAGACGACATCACATCAAGGTCTTTCGTAGTTGTTACTGCAGCATCTTGTTGTTGTATGTTCGTTTCAGCCAAATGACGTCCACTGCTGGACTTAGCTCTTCCCGGGACAGAATCTGAACAGATTGTAACTGATGGTATTTTGCAACAAATAGGTACCTATGGTTTATTGTACTGTAGATTCGGTGGTCAGCTTTACTTCGCTGACGTCACTGCCGACGTCAGTGGCGCCGTCTCGTCAAGGCTCTTTCCGGCAACGTTTTCCCCTGACCCGGGTTTTTCTCGGCACTCAGGCTAATCGATTGATCCAGTGATTCATTCCGGCACTTCTAGATAAACCTAAATGCAATGCAAAATTTAATTTTATGTCTATACTTACTTACCTCTTCTTCTTGTCGTGTCGACAACAAACCTACACAGTGTCAGCTCATCTCATCATCGTATTCAAAGTCCGTTACACTTAGTTATGTCTATAATCAGATTAAAAAACCACTTTGAAAAGTTGAATTACATATCTCCCGCGCGAGTAAAAGTGTGATATAATTACAAACATGTAATATTATAATTTTTCCCCTTTTTGGAACTGTAAAGTGGCGAAAGCAATTTTACGCTCGTGACGTGGTGCCACCACATTCTATAACTGCTGTCTAATAAGGCTCCTAAAAACTTCACTCGTTTCGCTGAATATGGTAAATATGGAGTAGGCAGCTAGGTAGTAATTGGTACATTTGACGTGGAATGTATGTCAAACGAGATGGAATCTACTACCTCCACTATTTTGATGATTGCTGTCCTCTGACCTTTCGTCACGCGTCGTTTGCCACGTGTAACAGTTTTACAAAAACCTACTCACAAAACTATGCAGACTTCAGTCCACGTCTTCGAAGACTGAAGTATTATTGACTCACAAATTATAGTACTAAAAGCCCATTGATATTTTTTCTTGGTTTAAAACCAGTACCTAGAATTCTTCAACGCTTTTAACGGGAGTACACTACAAACACAGATATTTACAAACTAACCTTTTTTTTTATAATTATAAATTCGTAAATTGTAAAGTCATACTTTTGAAATATGAATAATGAATGGATGCGTGTAAGGCTTATTTACACTGTCTTTTGAGAGGACATTGAACTCATTACGTACTGAATGCTAATTGTGACATTTTTTAACATGTAACACAACAGGGACTGGCAGGTAAGTCGCCATATTGACATGACTGCCAAAATTCATGAAGTCTTTATTTTGCAATTCAGCAAGGTTTCTGTAGTTGTGGTTTGTTGTAATTATAAGCTATTGTAGTAGATAATTCGTAGCTACTTTAACATGGTTGTTGTTATTGAACGCTTGTAAAAATAGGTGTAGCAGAGCGCACATTATGGGTCCTATCATGGGTTTGGTTAGGCTCATCAAACCGTTACGTAGGTTTTGTATTCGTGACGATTGTGAAACTAATTTGAACATACAAATACTTTTAAATAAGAAACATTAATTATTCATATGCACTTTTATCCTCAAGTCAGATTTGTTTCCACTTAAATTATTCAATAACTCTGCTATAAGTTAACATTGTTAACTTGACTTTGACTCACCTTTGGGTCAAGAGATTTACTTATCGGAATCAATCCCTACTTAACTCATTCCAAGATTATGGTAAAGTAATGTCCGTTTTCACCATGAATCCCTAATTTTTAAGTGACCTCTTTGAAAACAAAATTCCTGTTATGTGTTACCATAAGGGTCACTTAAAAATTAGGGATTGATGGTGAAAACGGGTTTAAGAATAGTTTATCGACAGTTGACTAGCTGTTATAAGACGACACTATCATCCACCGCGGCACCGGCTCCCTGCAACTGTATCAATGCACTTTATATTTTTTGATTCTTCACCCACCCTTGTCAGCAATGAGTGACCTCCATGTAAGAATCGTTCTCAGCACTTGTGTGTGTTATGAGGTAAAAAATTACCACAATTTCCCGCATGGAGTCACCGGGCAGTATGCACGAACAGACAGACATTCTAATTTGATTAGTATGTTCGCTCGGAAGTCTTCACCGCACATGCTAAATAGCACAGTATTAGGGCTAAATAGTCACATGTACAATAGCTTTAATATGTAGATACGACAGAGTAGAGAATAGAGTTTCAAACTTTATCCGTTCAACCCGCCTTCTGAGCACTGAATCATTTTCATTTTAGGTTATTGTAATTCAAACAATCTATGTCCTACATAACCAAATTGAACTAATTATACCCAACGCAGCCTAGGACCTCCAGTCAAGAGTTCAACTCTTTAATTACTTCCAAAATCACGGAACCACCTATGTATACTTTCATGAATGTTTACAGGGTGTTAGGTAAATGGGTATATGAGCCGACACTAGCCCATGTTAACATGGGCATATACATGGTATGGTGAAGTCAGAAATTTGATATCATCATTTTTTTTTTTAATTTTCATACAAAATAAATTTTATAAAATCTGATTTGTATGAAAAATAAAATAATTAAAATGAAGATATCAATTTTCTGACTTCACCATACCATTTATATGACCATGTTAACATGGGCTAGTGTCGGCTAATATACCCATTTACCTAACACCCTGTATAATGTAATGTGCTATCTATACCTTGATTTTTTAGAATCCAGCAGAGATGTAAACAAACACTTTCATACACAATTACACCATAATCACTTACGTGTTCATAATATCATACACATTATTTAACAAGCCCATGAAACCAACTTTATTTTCACGTTTATACAAGTTTGAAATCAATCTNTACATTGACCGATAGTGATCGCATGGAATGCGGTGCCTGTGCGTCATCATATCACAGCTTATGCGTTGCTATTTCCGCTGAAGACCTAGGTAATTTATCGGCTAAGGCTAAGAGGGACTGGTTATGTCCCGAGTGCCGGACTAGGAGGCCGCGCAGCGATAACTCTAACACTCCGGTTCGTCCATCTACACCTAGCAATATGAATCCCGATGCAAATGTTACAGTGCGCCGCAAGAAACCTCAATCACTCATTGAACCGGCCGGTGACACAAATGTATCACGTTCGGAATTGCGTACTATAATTCAGGAGGAGCTGCGTGCTGTAATGAGAGATTTTACATGCGAACTAAAGAGTGATTGGAACAGACAGTTGAAGGCTATTAGAGGCGAGATCTCCGGACTTACGGAATCGATTCAATTCATGAATGACTCGTTTGAATCATTCAAAACGGATTTGAGCCATTGTATGACTAAAATCAACTCAATTGAGAAGGATAGGGACATGATACGGAGTGAATTAAATTCTATCACCAACCGCCTCAACCAGATTGAACAAATATCTCGTTCTTCGAACTTGGAGATCCAATGTGTTCCGGAGCATAAGTCTGAGAATTTGCTGACAATCGTGACACAACTAGGCAAGGCCGTGTCTTGTCCCATATCGGAGTCAGATGTCCATTATTGCTCGCGTACCGCAAANAGAGGTTTTGTCGCATCACTAGTTCACAGACTAACAATATTTTTATGTCAGTTGGCCATATTTGATGACATTTCTGCTGATTTCTAAAAAATTAGACTGTACATATAAAACTCACACGCTAATAAGTCTCGCGACGGGAAGCTCATTCAGACGAGACTTTACAACTCGATCTATTCGTTTAATGACCGTCAATCGATCAGTGATTGTTCAGTGAATTACTTACTTGTACACTCGCGATTCTTACAGGATGATTATATTTTAATTACCTATTTAAGGTATTTATGGAGGGCATAGAGATAAAAACTAAAGGGCATTGAAACCGCAAGAAAAACAAATTCTTATTCTTCTTCAATATCAATTGTTCTTATCATCATTTCTTCATCCTCATTGCTGTAAAAATGAGTTCATGGACCGACTTTTCAACATAGCCTCCACAGACGAATCGTATGTTTTCATTACAATAAATATACGACGAGTGTTATTATTGTTTTACGATTAATCTTTGAATAGATCAGCCTGTTTAAAAGTATCGTCAGTTCCGTTTGAGTCATAATAATCGGCTCTATTGTATTATAGATTAATATTAATAATCACGTTGATAAAAGTAAAAGCTATTATAATGGGATATGATCAGTATTTTAATAGAATTATTTATGATTTAGACTTGTGGCATGCACATCGAATCAATGCCTCTTATTATGCTTTTTCATAATGGGTGAAACTTTAATAAATCATTAAATTGTCTTGCAATATTTATACAATTTGTATTGCACTAATCCATATTAATAACCTTCGAAGATATTGTTCCGCTAACAAGCATAAAGCAATCAAATCCTTGTGAATAGATTCATGAGTATATTATGACTTTGTATTCTTTAGCAGTCTCACTATTGACGTCTATTAATAAGTTATACTCTCTACTTTTTTTATAAACAGTAGAGTTTCTATTGACTCGTATTACTTTGTACAAATGAAATAGAAGCTCAAGAACTCAAGACGAGGTCCATAAGAAGTGACAGTTTTTTATATAATAGAATGAAACAAATACTGAAATATCCCTCGTAAAAAATACATTTGCACCATAAATGGCGTTATGCATGTTCGATGAATGAAGGGTCGCAAGGAAAGCGGTCCGGCTCCTTTCGCCGCGTTCGCTCTCGAAGGAATGCGCGTGCGCCGGCGGCTGCGGTTCGTGCGAGTTGCGACCGTGCCGCATGTCACTTCCAATAAGCCTAGAAAACTAACAGCGAATAATTATTTCTGTAGAAAATTTCAGCAGTACTCGTACCTTATCGTTTTCTTTGTTTTCTTACATTTTCTAGCCAACCTAAGATCTACATTGGTCTACAGCTCAATAGACCATTTTCGAATGGACGTTACGGATGATAGTAAAAGAACATAAGATGCCGAAGTGAAGCATGAGGACTATACCCAGCAGTGAGCGAAAGTTATTAAAGAGATCTTTATTTTTAATATAGAACTTGTAGAAATAATCATCGATGCAAATGAAAGCTACATAAGCTACATTTGCTGGCGGCTGACATGACTCGATATCTTTTACATTCGAATTGATTACTAAAAGGATTGTCTCAGCCGATTGATAAATCCAGTGCTCATGTAAGAACCCCGGTGTGGTTTCGTAAGCGACGAGCGGTTTGGGAATACTTCAGAGACGAGCCGTGCGCGGGCGCAGCTGCGCAAACGACGCAGGAATGAGGATATTGCCTCTTCTCGTTGCCATAACATCGTGTCGTGGAATAAACGTACTTACATTAGCACTGAAATGTGCGAAACGGTTGACACGAGCAATTACTTGAAAGGTGTTGTTACGGCTAGACTGAGAGAAATGCCAGTGTGAGTGATGCATTTGAAAAACTTAGAACACAGACAGACATGTTTGGCATTTTTAATTACTATTTAACTTCATTTGATCTCTTTATACCTAATTACATAGACTATCATCATCATTAGCTTTCCATTAATTACGTTGTTATCTTTCTATAATAGCAAGAGCACGCTATAATTAATTTACCATAGGTAATTAAAGCTTCAATTAATTAATCAAAGCGCTCTTTTTTATTTTGTTATTTGCTCTCGTATTCACTGAAAGCTGGATTGAAATAAGAATTCCCTGCTAGGTATGTCATGCTTACCTACCTATGTGTGTTAGACTGTAGTTTGTTGAAATTATAATTTCATGTGAAACAGTGAAATGATGAGCGAATCAGATGCCCCGCGCTGAAATAGTGATTGATATACTCAACAGACATCACACAAACACGTGAAACGACAACGTACCTCTACAATACAAGTTTTCGAGTACCCACGCAGGATGTGGAGGTCCGTTAGGCGCCGCCGCGAGGTCCGCAGCCGAAAAACTGCAATAACCGGCCCCTCCCGTTTAATGTCCGAGCACACATGTCTCCGCTTCCACACAAACCATTGAGGTTTGACGAGTTTCCATACAATAAGTGACGTCCGCTGATCTTATGATCGTCTTTTTTTCATCAGCGCCAATAAGCAAGATATTAAATTACTGCGTCTCTTCTACCTTATTTACCCTGTATTCTGTGGTTTGTGGATTGCTAAAATTGAATAAAGTGTCAAGCCAATTTAACAATATTATCGCTTATCATGTCAAAGCCTATAATTTCTTACATTTGCCATGAATAAACCGGAGCCATAAATATGTCAAAGCATCTCTAGAGAACAATAATCGTCTATAAATAACCATGGCGCTCGTCTATTTCGCAAGGAGTGCAATGCCATCGCCAAGGCCGCTGCAATCTGCATAGATTACCAGCAAGAACAGCTCCGCCGTTAATTGCCCATTGTTTGAGCCGCGATGACGCTAGCGCCACCTGTGACAGTTAGTGCGTCAGTCGCTATCGACATTAAAGGTTACATAAAACAGATGTTAGGGGCCTGTTTGTTTGCTGAAACTGAAACGATGAATTAAGATCTGTCTGACCAACCTTCTAAGTTCAGATTATTCTGTAAATGTATTAAGTATTCAAAATTTTGGAACAATCGACACGAAACAGGAAGGATGTATGAGATATGTATGAGTAAGAGCGGCCACCAGATGTTTGATCAACTGAGAAAGTCTCAAATAATTTTCCAAAATGAGTTTTAAGTAGGCCAACGAATGAGTGATTTCACATGAGTAATTCCTACCTACTTGGTGATTCGACATCATCTATATTATTCTTGCACGAAAAGAGTTAAAGTTAGTTTAATAAAACGAAAATTTCAACTACGAATTATACAGCTCGATACCGATTAATTTTAAATTACCCTGAAAATACAGGTCATATTTATTGAAATAGGTAATATGTATTTGGATCGGTCTGTAAAAGCCGGCCAATCTGTATACTTTACTGCTTAAGGCAAAGGCAAGTCGTAGGTATTCAGGGATTGCAATCTAGATGTCGATATTCCGCTTGCGCAATAAGTAAGTCCGACGAAGATTACCTACTTTTAATTTGATGATGGATCACCGAGAATAACGCCGGTTGATTTGTTAAAATTATATTGTGACTTATCACTGGCAGCTAATTAGAAAGGTAATCGTGATTATTTATGGCCTAATCCAATGAAACGTTAAGCGATGCTCGCAAAGAATTTGCAGTTTTTCAGCTATCATTAAAATCATCAAAGACTCAGGCTTAGTAACTGTCCCATTGTTTTCTAAACAGAAAAAGTCCAGGGCAATTATCCTACTTATTACTTTGATAGGATTTGACTCGTTATTGTTAACTATAACTTTATAAGGTAACTTACTATGAATAAAAATGTACGTCTTGATCAACATGTGACAAAAATATCCACAATAAACTAATCAAATATTTAGTTTGCTTAAACTGATACTCAAACATTAACACCTCAACTCGCCAAAGATGTAATTGTTCAGCAAATAGCTTATAACGGTGTCGCCGAAGAAGGCCGCATCAAATATGCGCGAGCAGACGACCCCGCATCTAGGGCACTAAATAAATAAACAAGATCATCCGTTTGACCCGCTTTACTGGTTCTTCGCGTATAATTACGCAAACTCGCTCGAAATACAGTAAAAACACGTCTGCCTTCCTCTATCGTACCTAAATACCGACGATTTTGTCGACTTGAATTGAAATCTATCTGTAATCTAGAAGTTGAAAAACAAATGTTTCAACAAATTTTTGTAACCGTTTGTTATTTATAGGATTTTGAGGAGTTTGCTCTATTTAAACTATATTATTTTTTCAAAGTATTTACAATAAATAGTTTTGCATTTAATATTAAACGAATTTTATAAATAAATAAAAACCAGGTGAGTTACCACGAGATCCAGATATGTGACCGAATAATTTAAATCTGGTTTAGTTTTTATACCACTTACTTACCTAGATCTGTAACAATAATACATAGTTTGTGTCCCAGACTCCCACGCGCGGGATTGAGATAAAAGCAATTGCTTCTGCAGATTCATTAGCGATAAATAAGTATTTTATCATCTCTAGCATTCAATTTCCGACCGTCTCGTGCGCGTGCGCTCGATAGTCGGATCGTATTTCTAGATCTGAAACCAAATTGAATGTGTCAGCTGGTTTATAATACACAACCATGAAAGCAAAACAGCAAATAATAAATATACGGATACACAGGCCCTATATTATTTGCTGAAGTTTTCAAATCAAATCAAATCAAATCAAATCAAATCAAATTTCTTTATTTGCGTAATTCCAGGTACATAAGTGGTCTTACATAGATTTGGTAGGTTTCACTGAAATTTTCTCAAACTTGGAAGCGTGCAAATATTAAAAAGTGTAGTAGACTTTATATCGAAAATAATACTAACATGTCATATTACATTAATTGATTAAAAACAGAAAACTAATAAATTATCATTAATTAAATTATAAACTAATACAGAATGTCATATTGAATAATTATTGTCATATCATATTGAAAATGTCCCGATTCCGACAAAATTATTATTTTCGTAGCCTGTGATAACTTTTTTTTTTTTTTTTTTTTTTTTAACTGTGCTTGTTTTATACGTTTAACGCAGTAATTTTATGAACAACATTAAGATGAAAACATTTATGAAATGTGGGGAAATAGAGATTTTGAAAATCTTTTATCAAATCCGAGGGTTTGATAATAGATTTTCAAGATAAAAACATCTTATTAATTGTCTGACACTCACTATTTTTTTCTTTGCCTTACTCTCACTTCTCTATGATCAATTCCTAAATCACAAACTAACACGCGTGAGTAATATCCTTTTCCTTGTAGTCGATTAAATCTGAAACTACCCGCATGATTAGGTGCGTTAATTCGCATAGTGACAATAATCGCATGTGGAAAGTAATCGCTCGCCGCAATTGTTTGAAAAACGTCAGTTAATAATTAACCGTAATGACGGACAGTGCATATTACCGGGGAACACAGCGAAAACTCGCGCACATTAAATCCCGGCTCCATGAATGAGAAGTAAGAGTCTGCATGCGAGATTAAAGATGGCTCCGCGGTTTTTGTGTGAACGAATTTCAACCGGAAAAAAGCGAGTAAAAACGACAGTATTCATTAATTGCGGGTTCCGCTTCAGTGGCCGCGACACAACGGAGGAAAGTTGTGAGGCTGCGGCAGGCCCGCTGACACTCCCTCCGCATGCACAGCCGATTTATGTGTCATGGTTACAGACGCTAGTGAGCAGCATTTGCTAATTATGAAGACAACGAAGGTCCAAAAACAGTTTAACATTCCCCCGGGACAAACTTGACCTTCCCTGGTTGGGTTTTTATTGGCGGTCAAGCTGTAAACCCTGGGTACACAGGAGTTTCAGCGGTGGGAACGAGAGGTGGAATTAGTCCCGTAATTATGAAGATGCATACGGGTAAGTACCTACACTACACATTAACCGTAACAAGTACTTCTACTGTCTTGCAGCTTTCAAGAATTTCAAGGAGCTTTAAATATGAGCCTACTGGGTGCAGGTCCTCTAGGGCAGTGTTGTGGTAAAGGCGGCTAACTCGCGATGAATAAACCCATTTGGTTTTGTCGCTACCTCTCCCATGGCATCACGGACGCCCTAAAAACTTGCTGTTACGCAGTGCGTCGCAATTCCACCGGCGGAGGGTCGACGACCCGCAGTTGTTTGTAGTCTCTGCGGAGTTTACATACGAATACCTCGTAAAAGCACTTTTTGGTAGTTGTAATAAAACGGATAGTAAAATTGCAACAAAGTAGGTAACTTGTAGGCGTAAGTAGGCAGGATAATCTTACAAGAACTTCACTTCGTTATTAATTTATCAACTTATTACACTGCCGTACAGCTCAATAATCACTCAATACCTACTTTTAATATTGCTTTACCACATCTGCTACGATAAATCAGGAGGATAAAGAATACTCATCGAATAGTAGGTACCTACATTCAGCCTTTTCAGTTAGATCTTACACAAACTTTCCGAGTGAAATATTCTACCGATACTTTTAACACTTTTTTACTTACCAACATATAACAAGACCACAAAGCGAGACGAACACTGTGTGTGAAATTATTTTAAATTTAACATGCAGCTTTCGTTCCGCTATTCAATTGTTGCATGAATCAGAACTGTCAAATTGTGTATTATCCCCGGCTCGTTGATGCTGCGCCACAATCAAAACCAATAGTAAGACTAAAGCCTGCATATGGCACGCAAAGTTTATGTACGGGTTCATTTGTACTGTAACCTTTACAAAAAAACCGTCTTATAGGGTGGGCCAAATTGTCACCAGACTTTATTTAATAGCAATAATAAGAAGATGTTTTACTATGCCCCTTTACTGCGGGTCTTCAGTGCTTGCGCTGGTGCGCGGTGAAAGCTGCGGCATCAGCCAATTCAATTCAGACCGACGGCAGATGAGGTGACGTTTCACTTTCAACTCGATTGACCCGGCCCGGCGTGACATAAGGGCAACTTAATTAATTATTCATAATTAAATTTAATCTGTAGCACTAGTTAGTGGCAAATCTAATTTTATCTTAGCCATGATAGCGTGTTTATTTAATAATCATTCTTTTAATATAAAACGTTTAAATACATACTCGTAGTTTGATTAATACTGGGTCGTGTAAAAATGCCTTTTAAAAGCCTATTATCGCATTTAATTTTGTCATTACAACTAACTTTTTATTTAGTTAGAGGCCACCAGTATTGGAATGTATTTGGTTATACCACAAACGCCTACAATCAAATCAATCTCAATCATGTTCTTTGTCGGTAGAAAAGAAATTTAATTAATGTGAATTTTCACCGTATGCATGATTATTTCTGACTAACACATTTCTTTCAAACTTTGCACACCTAAGTAAGTATATGCCTAATCATATCCGAAAAGCAAGTAATGCCTATCAATTAATCTTTTATCTTTGAATCTGCATATGCTGATACGAAATTTCATGGAAATTTAAAAATATGTAGTATCAATGCTCAAAATTAAGTCGTAATACAAGTATGCCTACTGGCAAAGTAAACTAACAATATGAAAGAAGACTAGTAAAACCACGTGAAGGTATAATAAACGTGCACAATACGGGTAAAACGACATAAAATGTAGTAGGAAACTCATTGTTATAAGGTTGAACATTTCTGTGCTCTGTATTGTGACTGCGCTTAAATTGCAAATTGTTTTCGATGCATAGCAAAGCGCAAAAAATTTACTGCATTATTTTTGTGGCTTATAAATTACTAGCTTTCCGTCCGCGGCTTCGCCCGCTTGGAATTATGTCTTTCACGGAAAAACTTTTTCACGCGCGTTCCTGTTTAAAAAACCGGGATAAAATCTATCCTATGTCCTTTCCCGGGACTCAAACTATATCTATGCCAAATTCATCAAAATCGGTTCTATGGTTTTGGCGTGAAAGAGAGACAGACAGACAGACAGAGTTACTTTCGCATTTATAATATTAGTAGATATAGATGATAAAATCAATGAGATTCAGTCTGAAGGTGAGGTGGGGAATGAGAATTTTTAGGAGTGCATATTGACTTACCTATATGTATATTTATCACTGTATATTTTGTGTCATAGCCTGCTTGGATATTGCTATCGTTGGAAAGCTTGAAAGCTAAGTGACACGCTTAAAAGTTACATAAAAACTGGAAGCTCAAAAGTTTCTCATTGATGAGGTAATAGTTGGGTTAAATGATAGCGTTACACATTATACAATTAATTAGTATAATAAAGGCAGCCGGTTCCCAGCGCTGAGCACGCGTCGCGCGCCACTGAAGGCCGCGAGGGCAGGCGCCGGCCCAGGGCTGCTGGACCGAGCAAGAGAGAACTAAATAACGTTGATTTAATATGTATTGTAAACAATACAGGGTATATAAAAAAAAACGCGTAATAAAGCAGCAACATTTTTAGGAAGGACTTATTCATGATGTTTACTTATTCTGTCATGGTACGAGTAGGTACCTATTTGTAATAGAAAAACCCCGAGAGTCCTCGCCCCCGTTCCATCCTGGTTAAGTTAAGCAGCCCTCGCAACCGGGACTCCCTGTTGGCAGCCGTGATGAAATACAATAAAAGTCATCCTCAGGATAGATTAAACACGGGACATGTGGGGCTTAAGTCAGACAAGAGAACACCAATATACGTAGTGGAAAATCTGTCACCTGACAACAAGTTTCTTCATGGTATGGCTCGGAACCGGGCGAAGGAACTCCAATACAAACATGTTTGGGTTCGAGGCGGACGCATATATATGCGTAAAACAGATACGTCTGAATATGTCCTGGTTCGTAGCGCGGCGACGCTGGATAGTTTAGCTTAAGTTAGGTACTAATTATAATTATATAGTTTCTTTAAAACTGGAGTACAATATTTCTAATAGTTACATTCGATAAGTTAAATATATATTTTCAAAATGTTAGGGGTCTTCGAACGAAGACAACTGAGTTATATAAAAGTGTAATTGGCTGTGACTATGATATCTTAGTTATGTGCGAGACTTGGCTAAATAGCACAATATTTGACTCAGAAATTTTGGACGATCGATTCGTGGTNTACAAAATATTAACTCGGGTTCCTTCGGACGCCTATCTTTGAGCCAAAGGGAAGTTAAATATAATTTGAAATATTTAGATAGAACTAAAGGTGCAGGTCCCGACGGCATTNTTGTAAAAAAACTACCCGGTAAATGGGGAAAGAAAATTTTGTACTTGGGTAAGTACATTGGGCAGTTACTCTTGCTATGTAGTTTAAATGTCAGGTCTGAACTACTATCCTTAATATGTACTTGTACAAGTACGCGGGGACTTACGAGGATAAGTTATCTGAAAACATAGCTACTATACCTAGTAGCTATGTTCATCCCTACATGCTCGGACATTTCAATTACTGTGCCAGAAAGACAGACCAATTTCCCACCGCGTAGTTTTATTGCTTGACGTTGTACAACTTATTGTTCGTCACATATTGCTGAAAGCTTTTGTTTTTCACTGGTTACCTCGAAAATTGGGTGAAAATGTTCGCCGTGTATTGTTTTAGTGGTGTATTGTTCTTTGGTAGACAAGCAGATAGAGCCTTATTTGCTTTTGTTATTTAATTGGGTTAGATAAATACAGACTTACATAGACATTTTCCACAGAAATTAGAAAATTTAAAAAAATGAAATAAAGTAAAACGTACAATCGAGTCCCTATTTTATTCCTGCATAATTAAAAACGGATACTGAAATAAATACTTTATACTGAAATAAGTACGAAAAGGTGTATTCAGAAAATATTAAAATTAAGCAATTGGAGTTAAAACTTAGTTACTGAGTAATAACGTTCCAAATTGTATTTTGTCTATGAAGCGGTGCTTGGTGCCGTTGTTATGATATTACTAAATAAATTAATTTAGTTAAAATCTACTTTATTCTCACAGCACGTATCTAAACTAGTTTTAGAAATTTTAAGTGGAACATTTTCTTAATAATTTACTTCAGAGAATAGCTTTTAAGTCTGTTAAAATCACATTTTCTTAAATTGCCTCAGTTATTTTAGTTTAAGCACTTTATGCAAAAGCATTGTCATTAAATTTTATTTTCTCAACAATGTAGTGAAATTATACCGTAGCTTTTTGCTCTTCATCAAAAATTAATATCAAATTAAGATATAAGAACGTGTTTAAAAGTAATTAATTTATCCAATTAGCGCTTTTGAGAAATGTACTTGTCTCTATCTAGATTCTAGAATCTAGATAATACAAGTACCTACTTACTGTAAGTAAGTTATACAATACAAAATGTTACCAAACTTCTACATTTTTTTAAGTATATTATGTAAGTTGTATAACACAAATTACTAATAATCCAGTGAGCCAGCCCCTCGTATTAAGCTAAATAAGCTTGTGGTACAAGTGGGCTCACCACAATATTAATAGACGAACGGTGTCGGGATTCGATCCCGCGTTCCTTGGATCACGAATCGGCTAGTCCGACCTCTTCACCGTGCGGATATCGTGGCTTCAATTACCTACACAAACTTTGTCAGTTAGTAAGTAGATATTGATACTTAATCATCTCATCAGAAAACAAAAGAAGTGCAAAAAGACAATTTCACTTTGCCTGAATTGTCTATGCCACAAGATCCGTTACCATAACGTTATCTAAAATAACGCGGTACCGCTATCTCGGTATAGTCTAGCGCGGAATAACGTCGTTTGAAAAACCAGACCCGTTTTCGTTCAGCTCGGAGAAAATAAGTTTATTTTTCCAACCACTGATAGCATACAGTGTAAGTTATTACTGAGTTTTCTTGTCTCTGGTTAGTATCTCTGCAATATTTGAATTATATAGATTGTACGAGCTAGATATACTGTCGTTTGTAGATATTTTTCTGAGGATGGAGTTAATTTCATTGTTTTTAATAGATGGCTTATTAATATGGCTGAGTTTCATTCACTATTTATTCACAGTACCAGGCAAAATGTTATGCCGAAGGCTATAATTAAGTATTTGGGACTGTGTAAGTTGCTCCGAAAAAGGTCAACATACGTACTTATAAAGAAAAATGGCGATCACATTTCTTCCATCGTCCAAAGTCGTATTGCCACTTTTTTTGGCCATATTACACGTGGAGACGTCGCTTCTGTTGAACGACTTGTCATGCAGGGGAAGGTTGAGGACAAAAGAGCGGGCGGCAAGTCGCCCATGCACGAGGCTGGACTGACCAGGTCAAAACCGCACTCAATGGTCCACTCCACGAGTGCACAAGAAAGGCTGCAGTTCGGAAGGAATGGCGACGGATTGTGAGATTTGCCATCGGACCGGGTGTGACGACCACGACCACTCTGGCAAGAGTGTAGCGACGAAGGAGAGAAGAGAGTCACATTACATTAACACAAAAGGATTATAAATCATCAAATCGATTGACACTCTACCAGATTTCACAAAATATAGAAAGAAAAAAGCACTAATATTTATTTAATAAGTACATAGAGAAAGTTATGTGTAATGTTGTCTCTCTAAAACAAACACAACATGTGGACCCAACCTTTTTAACCACGTTTCAAACTTTCAAACTATGTTGCTTGCCGTTTTAATAATTAGTGCCTAAACTAACTCGAGAATTAATTAACCGTAGAACAAATTACTATACTGACTGGATTTTATGTTTATATANCACATTTCATCCATCGTCCAAAGTCGTATTGTCACTTTTTTTGGCCATATTACACGTGGAGATGTCGCTTCTGTTGAACGACTTGTCGTGCAGGGGAAGGTTGAGGGCACAAGAGCGCGCGGAAGTCGCCCATGCGTTGGACTGACCAGGTCAAAACCGCACTAAATGGTCCACTCCACGAGTGCACAAGAAAGGCTGCAGTGCGGAAGGAATGGCGACGGATTGTCAGGTTTGCTATCGGACCGGGTGTGACGACCACGACCACTCTGGCAAGAGTGTAGCGACGAAGGAGAGAAGAGAGTCACATTACATTAACACAAAAGGATTATAAATCATCAAATCGATTGACACTACCAGATTTTCACAACAGATAAGAGAGAAAAGCCCAAACATATTTTGTAATACATAGATAAAGTTATGTGTAGGTTTTCTACACAGAAGCAAACACATCATGTGGACCCAACCTTTAACCACGTTTCAAACTTTCAAACTATGTTGCTTGCCGTTTTAATAATTAGTGCCTAAACTAATTCGAGAATTAATTAACCGTAGAACAAAATTACTATACTGACTGGATTTTATGTTTATATATAAACATTCTTAGAACAGAATTAACTATTGTAACTTGTAACAGATTTCAATCAAAATAATCGATTATTAGTTATAACAGAAAGTTCATCGTGGAATACAGAGCTCAGATTCATCATCATTATTTCAGTCACAGGACGTCCACTGCTGAACATAGGCCTCCCCCAATGATTTCCAAATCAACCGCTGTATCCAGCGCCTTCCTGCTACCTTTATGAGGTCGTCGGTCCACCTTATAAATCAATAAACAGTAAAAAAAAAAGTTCTTTTGGAGCTTTATTCCTATTTATTTTTATGCCATAATTTACGACTTTATCCTCCTGAAAAAAATTACCCCAAACATAATTTGAACATCAATTCCAGCTCGAGTTTAAGCTGATAATAGTAATGGAACCTGAATGTTATTTTTTCATGAAATGAACCAAAAACGTTTCAATTCATTCCACTTAGCAACCCTGTGAACTGAAACGGCTGTAACGGCTAAAATTACACCTAGCGCTAACTCTATTTCCTGTCACGTGACCTCCGTTCGTTGACCTTTACTAGGCATTGTAACTTAGCGAGTGTGTAGTACATTAGGGATGGTAACACCTTTAGTCAATTTAAAAAAGGATAAAAACAGAAATCACGTGCAAAAAGTTTGTCAAGTTGATTTTTTAACAATTATCTTTTCCTCGTGACTTTTTCCTAGAGAAACCGATAATTATGTAACTTATTTATTTATTTATCTGTCCTCACAAGAGTTTGCGTTAGAGACGATATTTGTATCTACTCGTATCTGTAGGTACATACGAGTAGGTACATATTGTTAACAAAGAAGGAAAAAATCATATAAAAATGTATCTTTCTGTAGATAAGATAATACATCCGAGTATGCTTAACAACGTTTTCTATAAAAAGCGGAGACAATGTCGTAAGACGGAAGAATCTGTTATACATTGTAATACAGTGTGAGTCACGTTAAAGTGTATATATGAAAATAGATGAAACTAGACCTATTTTTATCGACAAAAAAGAGGTCAAAAATTTTTTGAGATTTTTTTTTAATTTTTTATAGAATTTTTTTTCTTCCAATTACTTATTGTAAAGAAAACGTAATAACTTTTAAACTAAGCGGTATATCCTGATAAAATAAAAACAGTAATAATGCTAAATAACAAGCAATGCTAAAAAAATACATAAAATACACAAAAAATGCCAACAAATTAATAAAAAACGATACTTTTTGAAAAAAATCTGCTTAAAAATTCGTGTTTTTTTGGTTATTTGAATAATTTCTCCAAAAAATGCCCCTATAACAGGTGGTTTTTATTACTTTGTATTATTTTCTATCGTATTATCTTTGTAAAACCAAAAATCGCATGTCTCTATCCCTATCACAACATTTGCTATGATCGTTTGAAAAAAGGCCTGCCACAACATTATACTCCGCTACAGGTAGAGACAATTTTAATTTTAACTAAAATGCTTATTTTACTTCGAAATCTTTTGTTTTTATTTGAAATCTAACTTGTCTTTATCAAAATTAAAAATCTAGAGCCATTTTCAGTTTCGTTATTAACGAAGCGTTGAATGGCGCGCCCGGAGAGGCTTAGTTCAAACGATCATAGCAAATGTTGTGATAGGAATAGAGACATGCGATTTTTGGTTTTACAAAGATAATACGATAGAAAATAATACAAAGTAATAAAAACCACCTGTTATAGGGGCATTTTTTGGAGAAATTATTCAAATAACCAAAAAAACACGAATTTTTAAGCAGATTTTTTTCAAAAAGTATCGTTTTTTATTAATTTGTTG